CCCCCGCCCAGCTCTTCTGGGGCACCTGGCACTGTCGGCCCTCTCCTTTCCCAGGCCCTTCTCCTTTCTGCACTCTGGGGTGCCTGGGGGTGACACAGGCAGTAGCCCATGGGAGTCCTGGGGCAGGACCTCTACAGTTGTCTCCACTTGCTGCCCTAGCCACTGCTATTACTAGATTCCTTTTATTTGTGTATTTTTGTACTTTTACTCAGTGTGGTCCTCTTCCTGGGATTATTTTATTTATTCCAGCAAACCCTTTTTGGGAGCACTTCGTGCCAAGGAGCTGTCTTGGACCCTGTATTGGAGATGAAGGAGAATGGTTTGGCAGGGTGACAGATGACAGTACAGTGCTATTCTGCATGACAGAGTTGGAGCCACAGGTGTGCACCCAGCTCAGGTCTGGAAGAGAATGGCATCTGAGAGAACTGGGGACCAGGAAGCTGCTTAATCCTGAAGCAGGACTAGAAAGTGGGTAGCTAAGCAAAAAACCATGTGTCCGAGTGGTGCTGGTCTGTTTGGGGGAATGAGATCAGAGAGTAATTTATTTCTGTTGACAGCAGTGAAACAGGACTTAGTGTCCTGGGCAACTTTGGGTTAAGAAAATCTTGCAGTTTACAGTGATATTACTGTATAGCCCGTTTTACCCATAATTTTGAGGTTCAGGGGAAGAAAGGGTTTGTCTTTTTTTGGGGGGTTTTTTTTTTTTGAGAGGGCATCTCTCATATTTATTGATCAAATGGTTGTTAACAACAATAAAATTCAGTATAGGGGGTCAGTGCTCAATGTACAATCATTAATCCGTCTCAAGTCTAACTCTCGTCAGTCTCCAATCTTCTGAAGCATAACCAACAAGTTCTTACATGGCGAACGAATTCTTACATAGTGAATAAATTCTTACATGGTGAACAGCACAAGGGCAGTCATCACAGAAACTTTCGGTTTTGATCACGCATTATGAACTATAAACAATCAGGTCAAATATGAATATTCGTTTGATTTTTGTACTTGATTTATATGTTGATCCCACATTTCTCCCTTTATTATTATTATTTTTATTTTTAATAAAATGCTGAAGTGGTAGGTAGATGCAAGATAAAGGTAGAAAACATAGTTTAGTGCTGTAAGAAGGCAAATGTAGATGATCAGGTGTGTGCCTATGGACTAAGTATTAATCCAGGCTAGACAAGGGCAGCAAAACATCCACGGATGCAGAAGATTTCTCTCAAAGCAGGGGGGGTGAGGTTCTGAGCCTCACCTCTGTTGATCCCCAAATTCTCACCTGATGGCCCCCCTGCGACTGTGCCTGTCTTAGGTTGTTCCTCCCTTGAGGAATCTTACCCGTCTCTGGCTAACCAGTCATCTTCCGGGGCCATACAGGGAAATGTAAAGTTGGTAAGTGAGAGAGAAGCCATATTGTTTGCAAAGGTTAGCTTTTTACTTCTTTGCAGATTTATGCCCTGTGGCTTCTATGCCCAGCACTTGTCTCGAGGTATCTTTACCACCTGGAGGAATTATGATACTCGGTAAATTCGATATGAGGCACGAATTCTATTTAAGGGTTGTAATTAGGAAGGAAGAAGAAAAGCTATAGATGTAGCATATGAAGGAAACTTGGGAGGATTGATTATTTCTTTGACATATCTTCTTGTATAGTACCTTAAGTATGTATAGGTTTTAAACTACTAACTAATTTGCACACACATATTAACATAATAGGAATACGGTGACATAAACAAAGCAAATCTATAATTACCAGCCATCTCCAGTGAAGCCAAGAAAACCATTTAGGCACCCTAGGCATTTGTGAAAATTTATCTATGATATGATGGATATTGTCCAACTGTACTTGAACCATCAGACAAATTAAAGCAGCCCATTTCTGGGATCTGTTCACATCCCATATGTTCTTTTAACCATAGATAGTCTATAGTCATGAGATTTTGGGGTGCTACAACTTGCACCCCTCCCAACTCCTGGTTGAGTTCCAACAGTACAGATCCAGTCAAATTCGTTGTCTCACTGTATGCACATGCCAGCCTAGACATCTCCCTCCTCCTTCTTATGGCAAGTCCAGGAGACGGTGGGCTGGATGCAGCCACAACCGCAGCATCGTCCGGATCCCTGTGGAGGCTTTTTGATGATCATCCCCCGGCACGAGTCCTCCAGAGAGTGCTGATGCCGGAAGCTCCTCCTCATATCGTATCTTAGTTCATTTTCTGGGTATCCAATCTAGGCCTTGATCTTCTGCATAGAAACAAACAGACCCTTTGAAGGGTTTGTCTTTTGAAGGTAAAACCACATTCCTGCTCTACAAATACTGTATTTTTCTTTTTTTAGTCTTGATCTTTCAAATGTAGGCTTGCCTACTAAATTCCTAATTTTAAAAATATAATCAGTATTAAGTTGCCCACTACTTGCTTTCTTGAGAGAAAATTGAAGGAGGATATTGAAGTAGAAAGAACTTTTCCTTGTCCCGCTGGTCGGTAGAGTCAGAAGGGAAGCCCTGTGGTATCGGATGTCGTCGTAAGTTGATGGCGATGGCCGTAAATCTAAAGTAGAAGAAATCTGGAGCCTGAATTCCTTCGAGAAAAGCAAGACCTTTTTATGATTCTACAACTCAACAAGAATGGTTTCTCTTACTGGTCTGAAAAGTTACCCGAAAAGTTAGGAATCTATTGTGACCTGACTTCTCAGGCAAAAAAAACGCTTCCTTTGAGTCCTGGCAAGACCCTCGCCGGCACTGGAGGGCAGGATGGCTCGCGCTGCCTTTGGTTTGTTTCCTGAGCTCTAATGTTTGAATGTGAAGTAAACAGGAATAGTAGCCTTCCTGATGGCTGTAAATTACTGTAACTCTAAAATCAAATTCTTTGGCAAACTTCAAAGGGATCTGAGCAGTAGGGAAGGAAGAGAATGTGGGCTTCTGTGCATAAAAAGATGGATGGAGGAGCCCAAAGTTGCATCATTCAGCAGAAATATACCAGCTGCCTCTAATGCGCCAGGCAGTTCCCTGTGTTGGGGGCTCAGAGTGGAATCTGTTCACCCTCAAAGCAAGTGTTCTGTGAGCTCCAGGAGAGCTGTGGCCTGCAGGTATTTCTGTTTAATTGAAGTATAGTTGATGTACAATATTATGTTGGTTTCAGGTATACAATGTAGTGACAATTGTATACATTACAAAATACTCACCATGAGTGTATTACCATCTGTCAGTATCCACAGATACTACCATTTGACTACATTCCCTATGCTATACTTTGATCCCTTTGACTAATTTATAATCGGCATTTTGCACATCTTTATCGCCTTCACCTATTTCACCCATCCCCTGCCCCCCTCCTCTTGGCAACCACTAGTCTGTTCTCTGTGTTTATGAGTCTATTTCTGTTTTATTTGTTGTTTAGATTCCACATATAAGTAAAATTCTCTTATTTCACTTGTATTATACCTGTTAGGTCCATCCATGTTGTTGCAAATGACAAGATTTCCTTCTTTTTTATGGCTTGGATTCCATTGTGTATATGTCCCACATCTTCTTTATCCACTCATCCATCAGGGACACTTAGGTTGCTTCCGTATCTTCACTGTTGTAGATAATGCTGCAGTATATATAGGGGTGCATATATCTTTTCAAAGTAGTGACTTTGTTACCTTTGGGTAAGTTTTTAGAAGTGGAGTTACTGTGTCGCATGGTATTTCTATTTTTAGTTTTTTTAGAAACCTCTATACTGCTTTCCACAGCGGCTGCTCAAGTTGACATTCCCACGAGCAGTGTAGGAGGGCTCCCTTTTCTGCACATCCTCACCAGCACTTATTATTTCTTCTCTCTTGGATAGCGGCCATTCTGACTGGAGTGCAGTGGTATCTCACTGTGGCTTTGATTTGCATTTCCCTAGTGATGTGGACTAGTGATGTGGCGCATCTTTTCATGTGCCTGTTGACTGTGTGTATGTTTTCTTTGGAGAAATGTCTAATCAGGCCCTCCACCCATTTTTAAACAGGATTATTATCTTTTTGGTATTGAGTTGTGTGAGTTTTTATATATTTTGTATATGAGCCCTTGTGAGATGTGTCATGTGTAGCTGTGTTCTCCCATTCAGTAGGCTGCCTTTTTGTTTTGTTGGTAGTGTCCTTTGCTGTACAGAAGCTTTTTAGTTGGATGTCGTCCCACATGTTTATTTTTGCTTTTATTTCCCTTGCCTGGGGAGACTTGTCCAGAAAAAATTACTAATGCCACTGTCCAAGAGTGTACTGCATGTATTTTCTTCTAGGAGTTTTATGGTTTCAGATCTTACTTTTATTTGGGTCTGTAATACATTTTTGAGTTTATTTTGTGTATGGTGTGAGACAGTGGTCCAGTTTCATTCTTTTGCATGTAGCTGTCCAGTTTTCCCAGCACCAGTTGTTGAAGAGGCTGTCTTTTTCCCATTATATATTCATGGCTCCTTTATCATGTATTAATTGACCATATATGTGTGGGTTTATATCTGGGCTCTCTGTTCTGTTCCATTGATCCATGGGTCTGTTCTTGTGCCAGTACCACACTGTTTTGATTACTGTAGCTTTGTAGTATAGTTTGAAATCAGGGAATGTGAAAACTCCAACTTTGTCCTTTTTCAAGATTGCTTTGGCTATTTGGGGTCTTTTGTGGTTCCATTCAAAGTTTAGAATATTTGCTCTAGTTCTCTGAAAAATGCCATTGATATTTTGATAGGGATTATTGTGAATCTGGAGATTGTTTTGTGTAGTATGGCCATTTAAACAATATTAATTCTTTCTATCCAGCTGGAAGAAAGGGAAATTAGGAAAACAATCCTATTTACAGTTGCAGGACATTCTATTTACAGGAAATAATAGAATACCTAGGAATTAACTTACCAATGAGGTGAAAGACCTGTACTCTGGAAACTATAAGACATCCATGAAAGAAATGGAACACCACACCAGTGGAAAGATGTATGCTTGCCAGGTGTTTGATTCTCTTTTCTTCTCTCTTTCCCATTAAGTAAGAGGAATAAGCTGAACAGACACCCGCTGTTGGCTTTTGACTTGCCAAGGCCTGTACCCACGCTCCTCTCGCAGCCCATGTGCTGCATCCTCTGCCCTCAGCGTGCAGCTGGCCCCCAACGCAATGTGTGTTTGTCAAACCATGGAAGTGGGGCAGCATGGCAAGAACGCCAGCCGGGCCACAGACCGGGGAGTCCTCCTGGAGCCCTTCATCCACCAGGTGGGTGGGCACAGCAGCATGATGCGCTACGACGACCACACCGTGTGCAAGCCCCTCATCGCCCGGGAGCAGCGCTTCTACGAGTCCCTCCCTCCTGAGATGAAGGAGTTCACCCCCGAATACAAAGGTCAGTCATCGCCCGGTTTGGGGAGAACAGCACCCCGGGGCTTTTAGGCCCGCAGCTCAGGTGTCCTTGTTCTGTCGGCCGTGTGATGGGATTCTAGGTCTCTGCTGTCTCAGAGCGGCTGAGTCACTTTGTAAAGCAAGATCGAGGCTGGAAGCATCCACGATGCCTTTAGGGCTTGAGAGTTGAGCTCAGCAGGGGGTCACTCAGAGGAGAGTCACCCATGGGAGCCCCTCGGTGAAGAGCGTGCTGCTGCCAGCTGCCCTGTCTGCTCGGAGCGGCTAGGAGAGGGGGTGCCGTTCTCTGGTTCCAGAGGGGAGAACTGGGCGCTGCCCAGCTAAAGGGGTGAGGAGGCTGGCAGGGAAGCCCCATGGGGCCTCTGCCTGGGTGCCAGGCAGGGAGCTGATGGTGAGGGATGGACAGGACAGGGGCTTGGTGGTTCTCGACCTTTGAAGGAAAAATAATGTTTTAAAATGTGACTAAACTTGATAGAATAGAACCCCATGGCTACAGAATTGAATCACTTAATTTTTTTTTTTGGTATCATCAATCTACAATTACACGAGGAACATTATGTTTATGTTTACTAGACTCCCCCCTTCACCAAGTCCCCCCCACAAACCCCATTACAGTCACTGTCCATCAGCGTAGTAAGATGCTGTAGAGAATCACTTAATTTTGAAATCTGACTTGTGTCACTCTATTCATAGTTTCTATGATTACCCATCATGTGTGAGTTACATTTTTTGTGTTTTTTTCTTTTTGACTTTTGAAGCTGTATGAATTCAGTCATGTTTACTTCATCCTTTACTTAGGGAATACTTCATTTAGAAAAACCAATCCATGTCAGTATTGGCTTTTGTTTACTTAACTTTTTTTTATTGTGGTAAACATACATAAAATCGACTTTTTTTAAATGTGCAATTCAGTGGCATGAAGTGCACTCACAGTGTGGTGTACCACTAGCACAGTCTGTTTCCAGAGCTTTTTCTTCACCTCAGACAGAAGCTCCACACCCACTAAGTAATAACTCCCTGTTTCTCCCTCACCCAAATCCCTTGTAACCTCTACTGTACTTTCTGTCTCTACAGATTGTGGGTATTTCATAGAAGTGGAATCATGTCATTTTTGCCCTTTTGTGTCTCGCGTATTTCACTTAGCATAGTGTTCTCAAGGTTCCCCCGTGTTGTAGCACATATCAGAACTTAATTCCTATTTAGGGCAGGAGTTCTTCCATGGTCAGGTAAGTGTAGAGCGCCTTCTGTTAGTCTGTTCCTCTGTTGATGGACCCTGGGCCCTGGGCTGTGCCCATGTTTTAGCTATAGTGAATCATGCTTCTGTGAATATTAGCTTCCCAGTCTGTCTGGGTCCCTGTTTTCAAGTCTTTGTGTGGAACTGCTGGGTCATATAGTCATTCTGTGTTTAACTTTTAGAGGAACCGACAGACCGTTCTGTAGCAGCCAGACCGTTTGACATGCTTACCAGCAATGCTGCTGTTTGTCCACATCCTTGCCAACATTTATTCTCTTTCTTTCTTAGTTTATTACCGTAGCTGCCCTCGTGGGTGTGAAGCGGTATCTGGATGTGATGTGGGTTTGCATTTCCCTGTTGGCTAATGATGATGATATGCTATTGACTTTGCGTATTTTCTCTGGAAAAACATCTCTTCAAGTCCATTTTGCAATTTTGAATTGGTTGGTTTGTTTGCTGTTGTTTTCTACAGGCTATATATATATTTTTACCACAGTTTTTAAATGTAACTTAAAAGTGTACTTTATAAAAGTAACAAAATCTCCACCTGAGTATAATCTCTGCTGTTTAAACCAGTCTTACAAATACCAGGAAAATTAGGGCCCATTTGTGTCAAATGAACGATTGCCTTTCACTTGCTCCCCACACTCTACCTGAGCAACGGGGGAGCCTTCAGGGTCGGAGCATTGTTTTCTCAGCTGGTGGTGGGCCGCCCGGCCGGCCCGTTGATTCCCAGGTGCGACGGACTTTTGGGAGGAGTGTCTTCCTGCCCCACCCACAGGATAGCTGTGTCCCCTGAGCAGGTTCCGCTGTGTCTGCCAGCGGTGTGTCGGGCACCTGCAGTGGCATGAAAGGCTTCCAGTCCCACTGCCAAGATGGCCTGCAGAGCCCACTGTCAGAGGAGGGGACGGCGCGTTTAACCTCAGGAAACAAAAACATGTTTACCAAAAGGCACCGTTAAAGAAAATAGGTCAAGGTATTCACAACACATAGAGCTCAGGAAGGATTCGTTTCCAGAAACACACACACATACGCACACAAACACATGTTTGTGTGTATGTATATAAATTCATATAAATTGATAAGAAAAAGATAACTCAGTCAGAAAATGAGCAAAAATAAAGAAAATCAATGAAAACCAAAGACCAAAGGCTGGTTCTTTGAGAGGAACAATAAAGTTGATAAATCTCTAACCAGACTGATAGGAAAAAGAGAAGACATAAATTTCCAATATCAGAAATAATAGGTGTGTCATCACTAGATTCTACTGATATTTAAAAGAATGTTATGAACAACTTTATGCCAATAAATTCTACAACTTAGGTGAAACAGTTTCTTTGAAAACACACACTGTAAAAACCCACTCAAGAAGAAATGGGTAATTTGAATAACCCTTATCTATTAAGCAAATTGAAATCAGAGTTTAAAGCATTGCAGCAAAGAAAACTCCAGGCCCACATGGCTTCACTGGTGAATTCTACCAAATATTTAAGAGAGAAATACTTCCAGTTCTACACAGATTCTTCCAAAAAACTGAAGAGGGAATATGTCCCAACTCGTTCTGTACGACAACTACAAGAAAATGAATGTATCTCACGAACCTAGATGTAAAAAACCGAACAACATTTTAACGGGTTGGTCCAACCACAACAGTACATCATGCCCACGTAGAGCTCACCTGAGTGATGACCGGCAGGGTAACTCACGCACGCCAGTGTGATCTGGTGCATCGATGAACTAGGGACAAGCCATCCTGCCTCTTACCTCAGTAGAAACAGAAAACGCACCCACCAGTGTCCGGCTCCCGTTCTCGACAAAAGAGCAGCAGTGGGGCTTCAGAGACTGCGAGCAGAAGGCAGGCCCTCGCCGGGTAGAGGGCGTCTCCGGGGCTCCCGAGCTAGCGCCATGCTCCATGAGGAAATGCCTGCTTTCTCCCCAGTAGATCAAGATGTCTGTGTTCTCCACCTGTGGTCGACATTTATGGAACCTTCTGGCCAGAGCAGGTGGTCAAGAAAAGGCAAGGAAATAATAGAAGGCATCCGGGTTAGAGGGGAAGTAAGATGTCATCTTCATTTGCAGGCAGCACAGAACTCTTGTCTTCAGTCAAATGTCAGCCAAGTGTGGAAGCAGAATCGTCTTGCCAGGGACTGGGGGGGTAAGCCGAGGGCAGGAAGGGGCCCGCGGGGAGCTGCGCGGCAGGTCTGGAGGGCTGTCCAGGCCAGAGCGTGAGGGGTCCCAGGAGATGCAGGGACTGTAGACCAGAGGGCATTGCGGCTCGAGCAGAAGGAGGCTCTGGTAAGGATGGGGACAGGAAGTTACCAAGGCATGAGCCCGCGGGAGAGGTGGCCTCCGCCGTGGAAGCCCGTGTCCAGAGGCGAAGCCCGCGCAGGTGAGCCGCACGGCGAGGCGGTGTCTTGGGAGTGTACGAGTCTGTTTCTCTTGGATGTTTTAAGGTTCCTAAAAGGGCCCAGGAATTGGGGCTGTGCCCACATGGACGTGGAAGTGGGCCAAGGAGGATATTCTTGGTTGGCATATTGACATAATTCATAAATGCTTCTCACCAATTTTCAGATCATGGAGCCTGTTTTGCATACCAGCAGTGTAAACGGAGAAATGTAGCTGATAGAAGGTTGGACGTGGAAATTAGACTAAGGCCAGCCCAGACCCTTTTTTAAAAAAAAAAACCTCTTCCTTAAGTCTCTAGGTATTATTTTAACCTCTCTGGTAATGATTCAGAAGAAACAGCAAACAACCTGTTTAGTAGAAATGGACACAACAAACTGTTTGTTGCGTGAACACAGCATGGAAAATAGCAAGGACGGACCTCAACCTGGGAATGCTGAGGTTTGGCGAGGCAGGGGTTTTTTGGCCTGGCCAGGTCAGAGCAGCCTGCTGCTCGGCGTGGGCAGAGGTGTCTCTTAGGGGCTGTCTAGCTGACACTGCCCGGCTAGGGGAGGACACAGGACATTGCATCATGAAGCGGCCACCTAGACAGAGAGGGACATGATGTCAGTGGCACCTGGTGGACACAGTTGTTTTGAAAGGTCCAGAAGCCAGCCAGAGAGTGAGAAGACGAGACGGAGAGAGTGGGGCTAGAGCTTTATCCGAGACCCAGGGTCAGGCGCGGTCGTCATGGGGGTGAGTGGTTGGCTGTCTCCTGGAAGATACCCACTGCCGCTTGCTCCTGCCGCGGTCGGCAGTGGTTCGGGACAGGCGGGGACTGTGCTGCAGAGGCCCTGCCTGTGCACCTGCTGACTGGCTGTCTTTTTCCCACAGGTGTGGTGTCTGTCTGTTTTGAAGGAGACAGTGACGGTTACATCAACTTGGTGGCCTACCCCTACGTGGAGAGTGAGGCCGTGGAGCAGGACGCCACCCCAGAGCGGGAGCAGCCTCGGCGCAAACACTCGCGCCGGAGCCTGCACCGGTCAGGCAGCGGCAGTGAGCACAAGGAGGAGAAGGCCACCCTGGCCCTCGAGGCCCCCGGGAGGTAAGGGGGCCCTGAGCGGGGTGAGGGTGCGCGTCTGGCCCCGTGAGCACAGATGCTTAGGTCGTCTTTTGTCCTGCCACATAGTGGGGAAGCAGGGCTTAAGATCGGGGAATGTCGCTGGTGTTCTAGGGCCCCCGCATAGGTGTCTCGCTCTCCAAGACGGGAGGTCAGAAGGCACTGATGAGCAGCGAGGCTCCACCTGCTGTCTGACCTGCAGGCATCAGAGGCGGGGCCAAGGAGAGGCCATCAGAGTAGTGTCCTTAAGGCAGGTCTCTGAGACTGCAATAGCGCAGCTCATGAACCCTTTCCCTGCATCTGAAATTTAGTTTATTGCATGTGAAGTTGATTTCTGTTGTAGTTTAGGAAAACAGTCTATCATATTTCTTGATATTTCGTGCAAAAAAAATGTGAACTCCCACTAGGGTGGCCATAATCAAAAGGACAGAGTCAGAATGATGAGAATGTAGAGAAATTGGGTCTCTTCCGCATTGATGATGGGAATGAAAATAGCACAGCTGCTTGGGGAAATAATCAGGCAGATTCTTCAGAAAGTTCATCCCAGTAGTTCCCCCGAGGCGTGTACCCAAGAGGGCGGAAGAGACACACTCACACATAAAGCTTGTGCACAAATGTTAGTAGCAGCTTTATCCTCAGTAGCCAGAGAGGGGAGATGGCCTATGTGCCTGTCACCTGGCACGTAGAAGTAAAACGTGGCACAGCCACCCTGTAGCACTTTCCCGGACCTGGAAACCCGTGCAGAGTAGGAGGAGCCAGCCTCAGAAAAGCACATGTGTGGCTGTGGCATACGTAGTGCTGAGAACAGGCAAAGCTGTGTAGACACGGGCAGGTCAGTGGGCGCCAGGGACTGAGAGGCAGGGGAGGGGGGGTACTTGCTCATGGTGCTGGGCTTTGTTTGTGGGTGATGGAAACGTCTTAAAAATTAGGTAGTGGTGTGTGGTATACCTTGTGAATATACTAAAACCCCACTGAATCGGTAAAAATAATTAAGTAAAAATAAACCAAAAATAATGTGGGGTTCCTGCCCGCGCTCTGCTTCTGTCCTGAACCACGTCCAGGGCCCGTGGCCCAGCCCGGCCTGGCTGTGTGACACAGCGCTGTGAGTTACTTCAAGCGGATCGTTATGTTGGCGGCAAAATGAAGTTGTAGTATTTTCAGTTACCACAGGTGTCTTCTCCCCACCACCCTCTGTGGTTTGACTCATGTTCGGAATAAAATTCTTTTATGCACATGGCTTCATGATTTCCGCAGGTGCAAACCTTGTCTGCTGATATGCGGTCCCTTGGGCCACTCAGTGGCTCCGCCCCTGCTGGTCCTTGGACGGCTCCTCTGTTTTTCAGGGCCGAGACAGAGGCGGCCAGCCACCTCCAGGCATGACCTCCGCAGCCAGGTTGTGGCCCGTGTCAGACCTTCGTCCCCTCGGAGCTGAGTACCTCCCCACTGCATGGCAGGGCCATGTTTCGTGTACCCGTTCCTCCACTGGGGCATAGGGCAATCCTCGATGGTCCTGATGCTTCTGTGGCCATTGCAGGAAGTCGCTGAGTCCCCATTTGCAGTTCTTCCTGGTGTTTACCTGGGAGGGGGATTGATGGATCATACGGTGATGCCCCACATAACCTCTTCATAGCGGCTGCGCCCCTTCATATTCCCTACAGCAGCGGGCAAGAGCTCTGGCTCCTGCACATCCTCAGCACGCGTTCCCATTTATTTATTTGTTTATTTATTTATATTTATTAAGGTATCATTGATACACAATCTTATGAGGGTTTCACATGAGCAACATTGTGGTTACTACATCCCGCCACATTATCAAGTCCCCCCCACACCCCACTGCAGTCACTGCCCATCAGTGTAGCAGGATGCCAGAGTCACTACTTGCCTTCTCTGTGCTACCCTGTCTTCCCTGTGACCCCACCACAACATGTGTGCCAATCATAATGCCCCTCAATCCTCTTCTCCCTTCCTCCCCACCTGCCCTTCCCTGCCCCTCCCCTTTGGTAACCGCTAGTCCCTTCTTAGAGTCTGTGAGTCTGCTGCTATTTTCTCCACAAATGAGGGAAATCATTTGGTACTTGTCTTTCTCCACCTGGCTTATTTCACTGAGCATAATACCCTCTAGCTCCATCCATGTTGTTGCAAATGGTAGGATTTGTTTTCTTCTTATGGATGAATAATATTCCATTGTGTGTATTTGTACCACATCTTCTTTATCCATTCATCTACTGATGGACACTTAGGTTGCTTCCATTTCTTGGCTATTGTAAATAGTGCTACGATAAACATAGGGGTGTATCTGTCTTTTTCAAACTGGGTTGCTGCATTCTTAGGGTAAATTCCTAGGAGTGGAATTCCTGGGTCAAATGGTATTTCTATTTTTAGTTTTTTGAGGAACCTCCGAATTGCTTTCCACAGTGGTTGAACTAGCTTACATTCCCACCAGCAGTGCAGGAGGGTTCCCCTTTCTCCACATCCTTGCTGGCATTTGTTGTTCCCAGTCTTTTCAATGCTGGCCATCCTAACTGGTGTGAGGTGATATCTCATTGTGGTTTTAATTTGCATTTCCCTGATGATTAGTGATGTGGACCATCTTTTCGTGTGTCTGTTGGCCATCTGAATTTCTTCTTTGGAGAAGTGTCTGTTCATATCCTCTGCCCATTTTTTAATAGGGGTATTTGCCTTTTGGGTGTTGAGACCTGTGAGTTCTTTATATATTTTGGTTGTTAACCCCTTGTCAGATATGTCATTTACAAATATATTCTCCCATACTGTAGGATGCTTTTTTGTTCTACTGATGGTGTCCTTTGCTGTACAGAAGCTTTTTAGCTTGATATAGTCCCATTTGTTAATTTGTGCTTTTGTTTCCCTTACCCGAGGAGGTGCATTCAGGAAAAAGTTGCTCATGTTTATATTCAGGAAATTTTTGCCTGTGTTTTCTTCTAAGAGTTTTATGGTTTCACGACTTATATTCAGGTCTATGATCCATTTCAAGTTTACTTCTGTGTATGGGGTTAGACAGTGATCCAGTTTCATTCTCTTACATGTAGCTGTCCAGTTTTGCCAGCACCAGCTGTTGAAGAGGCTGTCATTTCCCCATTGTATGCCCATATGTTCATGGCTCCTTTATTGTATATTAACTGACCATATATGCTTGGACAAAATATATCTGGGCTCTGTATTCTGTTCCACTGGTCTGTGGGTCTGTTCTTGTGCCAGTACCAAATTGTCTTGATTACTGTGGCTTTGTAGTAGAGCTTGAAGTTGGGGAGCGAGATCTCCCCTGCTTTATTCTTCCTTCTCAAGCTTTGGCTCTTTGGGGTCTTTTGTGGTTCCATATGAATTTTAGAACTATCTGCTCTAGTTCATTGAAGAATGCTGTTGGTATTTTGATAAGGGATTGCATTGAATCAGTAGATTGCTTTAGGCAGGATGGCCATTTTGACAATATTAATTCTTCCTGTCCATGAGCATGGGATGTGTTTCCATTTATTGGTATCTTCTTTAATTTCTCTCATGAGTGCCTTGTAGTTTTCAGAGTTTAGGTCTTTCACTTCCTTGGTTAGGTTTATTCCTAGGTATTTTATTCTTTTTGATGCAATTGTGAATGGAATTGTTTTCCTGCTTTCTCTTTCTGCTGGTTCATTGTTAGTGTATAGGAATGCCACAGATTTCTGTGTATTAATTTTGTATCCTGTAACTTTGCTGAATTCAGATATTAGATCTAGTAGTTTTGGAGTGGATTCTTTAGGGTTTCTTTGTACAATATCATGTTATCTGTAAGCAGTGACAGTTTAACTTCTCTTTTACCAATCTGGATGCCTTTTGTTTATTTGAGTCGTCTGATTGCTGTGGCTAGGACCTCCAGATCTATGTTGAATAAAAGTGAGGAGAGTGGGTGTTCCCATTTATTTTTATAATAGCCTTTCTAATCGATGTGAAGTGGTATCTTCATTACATAATGTGATGCAAAGAATTATTTTTCACATAGTTTTCAGAGACACAGGAAGAGCACAACTCACACCATTCACTCACCTGAGTGGGCTCCTGCGCCTGGGGCCCTGTGTCACCCGTCAGCAGGGTGGGGCGCAGGCCTCTCCCGCCCTGCGCAGTGGGACCCGGAGGGCGACTTGTCTGAGCCCCATGGCAGTGTGTGTGTTCTTCCTTTTTAGCTCCCAGGAGGCAAAGGGCCCGAAGGCGGAGCTGCACGGCCACTCAGACGTTCCTTTCCAGATGCTGGATGGCAACAGCGGCCTGAGTTCTGAGAGGATCAGCCACAACCCCTGGAGTCTGCGCTGTCACAAGCAGCAGCTGAGCCGCATGCGCTCCGAGTCCAAGGACCGGAAGCTCTACAGTATCCTTGTTTCTGCTCCTGCAGCGCTGAGACCCCTGTGCAGGCTTGTGCTCGTCCGCCTGGCTCACAGGCTCTTCATCCTTCCTGCTGTCATCAGCAGGGTGGTTCTTCCGCCTGTTGGGGTAGTTAAGACTGAAGCTTAACCGTGGCGGTGGCCATGGCAATATTCTGTGCCATCTTTCAGTCTGGTGGCCACACAGCTGCTGTGAGTGAGTCCCTGAACTTTGAGTTTATCTTAATAAATTTAAGTTTAAATGTAATTCGCCAGATATGGCTAGTGGCCCCATATTTATCAGCACCTGTCTGGAAACAGGATCTGTGTGTGTTATCTCCCCACCAGAGATAATAAGTAAATAAAAAGTAATACATTTGATCGTTGTTGTCTGAAGGTAAACACCAAGCCTGTACAATGTAAAATAGTTTTAAGATGTTAGAAGTGGAAGTACTGTGCACCAGGTTAGAAAGACTGTGTTCCCTGCGGAGCTGAGGGGTGTGCTGAGCACTGTTGCCACGGCAGTCTTCTGAGGGAGCAGCCCTTGAACGCAGTGCATAGGTGAGGCTGTGGGCACCGGCAGGTGGACACTGTGGCCAGGGCCGGGCGCTCTGAGAGTTGTACAGCCGCCTTGAAGTTGCACTGTCACTTGACGGGTTGCAGCAGGTGATTAGATTAAGTAAATGCCAAATTTAAGGTTTTCTGTAAGTTACTCTTTAAAGAATTAGGAAATGTGAGAATGTTCATCAACACAGTGATGCTGTGTCACATGCTCCAAGGTGGTGGCCACTTTGTGGTCCCCAAGTTCAAGATTGAGGTCCAGGCTGCGGCCCCCGTGACTTTGGGCAGACATGTGACACGCATACTCCTTTAGCTGGGATTGTAGCAGGCAGTACGTTTAGATGAAGATGTGGATATAAATATCAGGAGGCCAGGGACCATAGAGCCATTGTGGGCAAAAGGTTCTTTTTTAGTCCTTTTGTAATAGTCCACTGGTCTAAGTCCACTTAGTCAAAATCGGCAAGATAGAAATTTAAATCCAGCTTTTTGTACAGACTCCTGTCTGGGAGTATTGTTGGGTTGGATCATTGCCACAGACGCCCTGCTTACCCCCTGGGCTGGGTAAGGCGCCGGCTTGAGTGTGACTGGCATGGCTGCTGGTGCTGGGGAGGTAAATGTGCGTCTGCCAGATGGGTACAGTTGCTGGTGTCAGTTTGGGTAGATGAGAAGGTTCTGGAGGTGAGTGGTGGGGCTACACAGACATATGAGTATACTTACTGCCATAGACCGTATACTTTAAAATGATTACATGGCAATTTTAAGTATATTTTACCACAATAAAAAATTTCTTTAAGAAATAATAAGGCCGTAACGTGAGCTGAGTTTGTGAAGACAATACGTTAGGTGGGAGCGCCTCATTATGGCTTGAATGTGCTGTCCTGTCTGGGGCAGGTCACAAGGGTGCCCCTTGCGCTCCTTGACCGTGGCCCAGAGTTCCTCCTGCTTGAGAACGTGGTGCACCACTTCAGGTACCCCTGCGTGCTGGACCTGAAGATGGGCACGCGGCAGCACGGGGATGACGCTTCAGCCGAGAAGGCGGCCCGGCAGATGAGGAAGTGTGAGCAGAGTACATCGGCCACACTGGGCGTCAGGGTCTGTGGCATGCAGGTGAGTCACCCCACAGAGAGCTTGAGCTTGGCACTGCTGTGTGTATGTGCCAGGTGCACAGACCCCTGCCTGCGTCTGATGGCGTCCTGCCCACGGGGTCCAGAGTCGCCTCCGAGAGGGGAGCCCGCAGAGTGCATCCCTGTGTGTAGCTTCTTGAGGTTTTTTTGTCCTTACCTGGTGGTGTTAGTCTGGGCCCCGGATGCAGAGCCACCGTGCGAGCCTGTTGCCCCGACACAGGGGCCAAGCTCCTGTCTGTCAGCACGATGTTCTGTGTCCAGCTGGGCCCCGAGCATCTTGGAGAAAGGCTGCAGGGGTGATGCAGAGAACCTGAAGGCTTGGTCTCACCTTTGCTGCTTTTCCCGCAGGGAGACTTAGGCCCCCCCCTCCTTCAGTTGTGCAGGGCTGAGCAGAAAAACTCAGGCTTGGTGAGAGGTGCTTTGCAGACAGTGCTTGCCCAGCACTGTGAGGGTGCCAGCTCTGCGCGGTACTCACCTGGTATGTCTGCTGGGGTTTCAGGTGTACCAGCTGGACACAGGGCATTACCTCTGCAGAAACAAGTACTATGGCCGTGGGCTCTCCATCGAAGGCTTCAGCAGCGCCCTCTACCAGTACCTGCACAACGGCCTGGACCTGCGGCGTGACCTTTTTGAGCCCATTCTGAGCAAACTGCGGGGCCTGAAAGCTGTGCTGGAGCGGCAGGCCTCCTACCGCTTCTACTCTAGCTCCCTGCTTGTCATCTATGACGGCAAGGAGTGCCGCGCCGAGTCCTGCCTGGACCGCCGCTCTGAGGTGCGTCTCAAGCACCTGGACACGGGGCTCCCTGAGGGAGCATCGCCCAGCACCAGCCCCAGCGGCGCCTACCCCGAGGTGGGCCCCTCCTCCCCACCCAAGGTGGACGTCCGCATGATTGACTTTGCACACAGCACGTTTAAGGGCTTCCGGGATGACCCCACCGTGCATGACGGGCCGGACCGAGGCTATGTGTTTGGCCTGGAGAGCCTGATGAGCATCATGGAGCAGATGCGGGACGAGAACCAGTAGGTCCAGCTCTGGGCCCCCAGGACCCTTCCCTCCCCACCCGCAGGCAGGGACCACTGCTCTGACTGAACTCGCTGTGAGGACCCACAGGCTTGCTTTTAAAGGGTTATATTTCTCTTTGGTGTAAACTAAAAGAAATGTTTTTAGCTGTAGCCTGGAATCCATATACATAAAGTGAAGGAGGCCAGAACGCATCCCCTCTAAGCCAGGCTTCTTAGCTCTGCAGCTTTGCTGTGTCCAGTCTGACCTACGAAGGAGGAGGTGCCCTGGGGGGCTTGGAGGCAGGGCCAGGGTGCCTTGGACATTGGTTTCCCTTGCTGAGGTCTTTGGGATCTGTGGCTGCAGGGCCCTTTGGTTGCCATTCCCATTTAGCTCTTGTTCATCAGAATTAGAGGGGCTGAGTGCCCATCTCTTGAGGGACGTCTTGTGTTGTGGTTGTCAGCCAGCTCTTCAACAGATGTCCCTGGAGGGCCAGCTTACACACAGCTGGACCCAGCCTTCACAGCTCTGACCTTGGAGTGAGGCTAGATTCATGAAGCTGGGCCGAAGCCAGCGAACGGCAGAGGGCAGGGCCTGGGATCCCCAGGCACTCCTTGGCACATGAACCTGCTCTCTTCTCCCTGCACATCCCAGTCACCCTTGCTCCCCGAGGTCCTCTTGCCCCACTGAAGGGGGCTCCTGCTTTCTGCCTAGGAGTCTGTCCCAGCAGCCCCAGGCCCGGTGGCTCTCGTGCAGACAGAGTGGAGTTCTTGTGCTGGGGGTGGGGTCCCCTGGGTACGGGCCGTGCGGCCTCTGGGTGGGCTGCCCTGTCCAGTGCTCGGGCTGTGGTCCGCAGGCCTCCCCTTTCCCCAGGCCAAGCTCAAGGCAACAGCCCATCGTGAGGAGCCCCAGGCTTGCGAGGGAGAACTTCCAGTCCGTGTGCTCGTAGGGACACTGCGTGGGCCCTGGTACAGGCACCTGGATTTTGCTGTGAGAGTTTGGGGCCCCCGTCTCTTCATCTCTCTGCCAGCCACTCTCCTGGTCCCTTTCCCTGGGGTATGGCCTTGCTCATTAGTGATACTGACTTCCTTCATGCTTTCCTCAGCAAAATGCCCAGCCGTTTCTGAGGTGAGCTTTGGCTGTGACCTTCCTCAGCAGGTGCTGTTTTTATAAAAACGTGGAAGCAAAAGCAGTGGTAGGAAGTGTTGCCCTGCTCCCCAGCTCCCTCTCTGTGGGCCTGGAGTGTGGCGACACGGGCAGTGGTACAGTGAAGGCCAAGGACCAGCCCCTTCCTTTCCCGTGGTTTTAGTAATTTTTGCTGCCAGCCCTTTATGGCACAGAGACCTGCCGCTTCAGCACGTGACCAGGTGGCCCTGCAACTCACCTAGCCGTTGCTGGCGATGACCCTCTCACCTGAGCCGGTGCCACAGTCATGATCCCTTTGGCATGTCTCTGGGCATTAAAAGTGAGCCTGCCAGCCTGTGTCTGTGAGAGGCCTCACTAACTGACGGACTGATTTCCTGGTCCTTAGAGATGCAGCCTCACACGTCTTCAGTGGGCTCCTTGTTAGAGCCCCATGTCTGCTCTCTGACTCTGGGGCCTGTTCTTGGGGCTGGGAGGGGCAGCTTGCAGGTTTCTGGTCAGGAATGACCATCTCCTCTCCTCTTATCTGTGGCTTCAGCCATAGGAGCAGGCAGGAGCTCTTTGTTAGCCACTGCCTGGCAGGGCAGAAGCTAAGACAGTCTGGGGCCACTTGGAACCGAACCCCCTTGACGGAACCCTTTCAGCCTGGGGAGGTGCTGTGCCACCTGAGTTCCTCGTTCTGGGAGCACATGCTGTTCTGTGCTGCTCCTCACAGCCAGAGAGGTTGTAGTTACATTCAGTGTTTTCTTGGCAGAAGGGCCTGGGATTTGCTGCTTCTCCCCCAGGGCAGAGCCCCTCTTTTCAGCACTTCTGATACTCGGAGACCCAGATGTTGCCTGGCTGGTGGTGGGCATGTGTGTACTGTACTCTGCCACTACTTTCTCCCTGCTCCATGCCGGAGCCTTGTCCCTGCCAGGCCCTGCCGTCTATCCCCAACTTGGGACCAAAGTGCAAGGTGGGATTACAGGATGCCCACGTGACCCCTGTGTGCTTCCCTGGGCCAAGAGGACACTAGTCCTCTGGGCTTAAAGAGGAAGGGGACCAGTGTCCACAGCTTGCCAGGGACCCCACCCCCCCTCACTTGGGGGCCTGTGCGTTGGGTGTGGGGACTCTTCCTGTGGGGCCAAAGCCCTGGGCTAGGTCAGTAGCCCCTGCCCGCTTGCTCTCAGCTGGCCACGTGCCCACCCCTAGATGCAGACTGCTTTGAACTACAGCTGTTCGACTTGGTTTTGTTCGCGCCGACGTAAAAAAAGTGTTAACAAGGAAAGCAATGGGAGCACCCTGGGGAGGACTAGGCTCCTGAGCTTCCGCGCCTCCAGGATCAGCCCTGCGCTCCACCTGGAAGCCCCCGCCGCCTGCGCCTTCTCTCGGGACCTTGCCTGCGGGGGTGCTGGGCCGCGGCCGCGCCTCTGTGTACACCCAGCGTCGCGCCGCCTGTGTCTGAGGTCTTGTATGTCAAAATAAAGCCGCTACAAACTGCGGCGCGTCTGCGTGTCTGTGTCGCCCACGGCCCTCCCTCCCACTGTCCGCTCCGGGCGGGGCGGGGCGGGGCGGCGGGGGAGGAAGCTTCGCCCTCGGCGCCAGTCCCGCCTTCGGGTCCGCCAATGGCGTGCGTCCCCATGGCAGCGCGGCGCGCTCGGGCGCTCATTGGCTGCAGCTGCGGGGCGCTGCGTTACGGCGTTACGGCGCTGCAGCGTGCCACGTCCACGGCAGCCGATTGGCCCGCGAGCCCCGTCACTGCCCGCCCACGTCCTGCCCGAGTTCCGGGCCAGCTCCCCTGAGTCCGGCCTTCCGTCCTGGTGTGTAGCGTCCGCGGACCGGTGGACGAGTGGACAGACGGAGCCGGAGCCAGTCAGCGCAGTGGGTGGGGGGCGCGGGGCTGGGCGCGGCGGGGAGAGACGCGACCGGAGCCGGCCCGGCGCGCCGCGGTCACCTCGGAGCCGGGACTCCCTATCCGGCCGGCCGCGGGCGCGATGAAGGCGTTGATCTTAGTGGGCGGCTATGGGACGCGCCTGCGGCCGCTGACACTAAGCATCCCGAAGCCCCTGGTGGACTTCTGCAATAAGCCCATCCTGCTGCACCAAGTGGAAGCGCTGGCCGCGGTAAGGCCCGGGCCCGGGGCCCTGGTAGGGCCCGGCGGGATGAGGGGCGGCCGGCGGCTGGGGGTCGGGACGCCCCTGCCTTCCGGCTGAGCCTGTCCGGGCGGCCGGCGCGGTTCTGTCCGACAGGCTGGCGTGGACCACGTGATTCTGGCCGTGAGCTACATGTCTCAGGTGCTGGAGAAGGAAATGAAGGCGCAGGAGCAGAGGGTGAGGTTCGGACTCCTGCCCCTTTCCGTTGGTCTCCACCCAACCTCCTGTCCTCGTGGGAGGAACCTGACGGCTGGCTTCTGTCTTCCAGCTTGGAATCCGAATCTCCATGTCCCATGAAGAGGAACCTCTGGGGACAGGTCAGTAGAGGCAGGAAGTTCTTTGGGAGAGGGTTTAGGGTCAGGGAAGAGGGAAGACTCGGCCTGGGTGAGGCCTCCTGAGCCTGGATCCAGGGGTTCAGACCCAGAAAGATGCTGTCCTCTCCCCTCCCCCAGCCGGGCCCCTGGCTCTGGCCCGCGACCTGCTCTCCGAGACTGCAGACCCTTTCTTCGTCCTCAACAGTGACGTGATCTGCGATTTCCCTTTCCAAGCCATGGTGCAGTTCCACCGGCACCATGGCCAGGAGGGCTCAATCCTGGTAAGGGACACAGCAGGCCTTCCCCGACACTCCCACCTGCATGCCCAGCTTCTAACTGCCCTCTTCTGTTGTGGGTTTAAGCATCTGGGGCATAACATGCATGCGAGGCTCGGGGACACTGCCCTAGGCCTGAGGTCCCCCTGCACTCAGGTGACCAAAGTGGAGGAGCCCTCGAAGTATGGTGTTGTGGTGTGTGAGGCCGACACAGGCCGCGTTCACCGCTTCGTGGAGAAGCCGCAGGTGTTTGTGTCGAACAAGATCAATGCGGGCATGTACGTCCTGAGCCCTGCTGTGCTGCAGCGTATTCAGGTATGTTGGGAGCGGCTGGGTGGGCCAGCGAGGGCTGCAGCTGCCATGTTCCTACTCACAGCTGCCCACTCCCACAGCTGCAGCCCACGTCCATTGAGAAGGAGATCTTCCCTGTCATGGCCAAGGAGGGACAGCTATATGCCATGGAGCTACAGGGTGAGGCAGGGAGGCCACAGGCTGGGGGTGGCCTGTGGCTGGGTGTGGCCTGTGGCTGGGCCAAGCCCCTGATCTCTCCCCTTGCTCCAGGCTTCTGGATGGACATTGGGCAGCCCAAGGACTTCCTCACCGGCATGTGCCTTTTCCTCCAATCACTGCGACAGCAGCAGCCTGAGCAACTGCACTCAGGTCCTGGCTTTGTGGGCAACGTGCTGGTGGTAAGGGCCCAGCCCAGCCCTTCCCCCACCCCGGTCTTGGGGAGACAAATGGCCACTTTGGTTTTTCCCTACTGTCCTCAGGACCCAAGTGCCCGCATTGGTCAGAACTGTAGAATTGGTCCCAACGTGAGCCTGGGTCCTGGCGTGGTGGTGGAGGATGGCGTGTGTATCCGGCGGTGCACAGTGCTGCAGGGGGCCCACATCCGCTCCCACTCCTGGCTCGAGTCCTGTATTGTTGGCTGGCGCTGCCACGTGGGGCAGTGGGTAAGGCTGTGGGCTGGGCCGGATGGGGCGTGGGGCAGGGAATGCGCCTGCCTTGCTGACAAGGCCTGTCCCCTCCCCCTAGGTGCGCATGGAGAATGTGACGGTGCTGGGTGAGGACGTCATAGTCAACGACGAGCTCTACCTCAACGGGGCCAGTGTGCTGCCCCACAAGTCTATTGGCGAGTCAGTGCCAGAGCCACGCATCATCATGTAAGGGGTGCTGTTGCCCCTTCAGCAAGGGAACCCTGGCTTGACACTCAAAGGCCCTAGACTCTGCCATTTGTCTGGGGAGATCTGAGCAAAGCTGAATCTGTTGGACACCTGCCTTCTCCTGTGGACATAACTGGCTGGACCTTCTGGGTATACCCCACAAAGCCCGTTCTCTCAAGAAGGGCCGGGCCAGGGCTGTATGGAATAATAATTTAATGCTCACTGTGGCCCTGACTGCAAGTCAAGCTCAGGCATGGCTGGGCTCCTGCCAATGAGGTTCGCACAGGCAAGGAGGTTGGCGGTGGGGGTTGGGGGTACGGCAGTGTGGGAAACAGGGCGAGGGGTGCTCATAAATAGGGCCCAGTCTGGGCTCAAGGGAGGAGGCCCCTGCTGGGCAGGCGCGGCAGGCCTAGGCAGCCGAGGAGCTGGCACCCGCCTGGGCTGCCTTCCCCCAGTCCTCCACGGACTCGATGGTGGCTTTGCAGAAGAAGCAGTCCTTGCTGTTCATTAAGTGCTGGCTGATGCAGGCTCTACAAGGTGGGGGGCGGAGCCGGCCTGTGTGTCCCCGCTGCTCCCTTCCCAGCCCTCGCGCGCCCCCACGGCCCACTTACTTGCAGGATTTGTGGCCACAGGGTTGGAACACAGCCGAGATGGGGTGGGCATAGCAGATGGGGCAGAGATCCTCCTCGCTGGTGGGCTGCAGGGGGCAGGAGGCAGAGGGCAAGGTGGGCCAGGGTCGGGGGTCCGGCAGGGGGGCACCTGCTCGCCTGGGTGCTGTGACCCCAGCTCACCAGGGAGGCAGCTGCTGCCTGGGCGGATGCAGAGCTCAGGTGTGCCAGCATCTGTTCCACCTGGTGCAGCTCCTCCACGCTGATGTACTCTGTGTCTGCGGGGTGGTGGGTGGCCAGACGGAATGTGTCCCTGGAGTCCCAGCGCCTCTGGGGTTCCCCACAACCTGGCTGGCCTCAAAGCCCTCCTTCCCTCCGACCCACCCCCCAGCCCACTCACAGCTCTGCAGGGAGAAGCGCTTCGGGTCGGGGGCGGGCAGGGCGGAGCCGGGGGCAGGGGGCTCTGGCTGCCCAAGGAGATAGCAGACAGAGCGGAGCTGGAAGCAGGGATCGGCCAGGAGCACGGACGTGGCTCGCTCCGTCCTAGGGGGCGAGGGCGCGGGGCCGTCAGCAGGCCAGGGCCAGTCTGAAGGCCGCAGCGCCGCAGGGCCTGGGGGAGGGTGCCGTCCCGCCCACTTGCACCGCTTGCCGCCCCACCTCCCTCTCGCCACGCAGCCCGGCTGCCGGCCTCAGGGGACACGGGGGTGGGGGGCACCGGGAGACAGGGAAGGCCCTTCTCCCCCACCCAGCGCACGCCCAGTCCTTCCAGGAAAGCAAACCCGCGGCGGTGGAGGGCGGGCCCGGGCTCCCTCCGCCGGAGGAAGGCGCCGCGGAGAGCCGCCGCCCCGCCCCTGCTGCCCGCGCCAATGGGAGCCCAGGTCCGCCCCCCGAGCGGCGCCCTCGCCGGGTATTTAGGAGCCGCGCGCTGGCCCTGCGGCGGGCCGCCCTGGAGGGAGCCTGGCGCGGCTTGCGGAGTGCCCGCCATGGCCTGGCTGGCGCTACTGGGCGTGCTGCCGAGCGTGCTACGCGTCGGGTCCGGCTCCCCAGAGCCTGAGAGCCTTCTGCGCCCTGCGCCCCAGAGCTGCCCCTACAGATGCGTGTGCGCCGCCGACCTGCTGAGCTGTGCGGGCCTCGGGCTGCGGGACGTGCCGGCCCCCTTACCCACCCCCGCCGCCGACCTCGACCTGAGCCACAACGCGCTCCAGCGCCTGCGCCCCGGCTGGCTGGCGCCCCTGGCCCGGCTGCGCGCCCTGCGCCTGGGCCACAATGAGCTGGGCGCGCTGGGCCGCGGGGCCTTCACCAACGCCAGTGGCCTGCGGCTGCTCGACCTGTCGTCGAACGCACTGCGGGCGCTGGGCCGCCACGACCTCGACGGGCTCGGGGCACTGGAGGTGCTGCTGCTCTTCAACAACCGCCTGACGCACCTGGACCAGCGCGCCTTCCACGGCCTGGGCGCGCTCAGCCGGCTCTACCTGGGCCGCAACGAACTCGCCTCCTTCTCCTTCGCCCACCTGCACGGCCTGGGCGCCACCCACCTCCGCACCCTGGATCTCTCCGCCAACCGCCTGGGGCGCGTCCCCGTGCCTGCCCTGGCCGCGCTGCCCGCCTTCCTCAAGAACGGCCTCTACCTGCACAACAACCCGCTGCCCTGTGACTGCCGCCTCTACCACCTGCTGCGGCGCTGGCACCAGCGGGGCCTGAGCGCTGTGCGGGACTTCGCTCGGGAGTACGTGTGCCTGGCCTTCCAGGTGCCCGAGTCCCGCGTCCGCTTCTTCGATCACAGCCGCGTCTTTGAGAACTGCTCGGCGGCCCAGGCCCGGGGCCTGGAGCGGCCGGAGCAGCAGCTGCGCGTGCAGCTGGGTCGGCCCCTGACGCTGCGGTGCAACGCCAGCGCCCCGGCCACGCGCACTGTCTGGGTCTCCCCACAACAGGAGCTGCTCCGGGCGCCCGGATCACGCGACGGCAGCATCGCGGTGCTGGCTGATGGCAGCCTGGCCATCAGCGACGTGCAACCGCGGCACGAGGGGGTCTTTGTGTGCCTGGCCACCGGGCCGCGCCTGCATCACAACCAGACGCACGAGTACAACGTGAGCGTGCGCTTCCCGCACCCCGAGCCCGAGGCTTTCAGCACCGGCTTCACCACGCTGCTGGGCTGCGCCGCGGGCCTGGGGCTCGTACTGCTCTACCTGTTCGCGCCGCCCTGCCCCGGCTGCCGCCGCTCCTCCCGCCGCTGCCGCTGCCGCCGCCGCCGCCGCCCACGGAGCCCGGTCCAGGAGCTGCGCGCGCCGCCCTCGGCGCTGGGCAGCCCGCCGCCCAGCCGCAAGGCCAGTGCGCACAAGCACGTGGTTTTCCTGGAGCCGGGCGGCCGGGGCCTCAGCGGTCGCGTGCGGCTGGCGGTAGCCGAGGACTTTGACCTCTACAACCCCGTGGGCCTGCGGTTCCAGGCCGGCTCCGGGTCCACCAGCTCCACAGGCTCCGGGGACCTGGTGATGACCTAAACCGCCCGGGCCCCTCCTGACCGCTGCTTGTGCTGCGCCCTGCCGCCCAGATGTCCCGAGAGGGCTGGGGCCGAAGCCCGTCGGGAAGAGCCCTGGGCTGAGGCATCCCTCCAGGGTTGGCAAAGGACGGAAGCGCGGCCACGTTCCCTTCCCAGGGGGCAGGAGGAGGGCACAGGCAGGCCCAGCCCCCAGCCCCCAAGGCAGCGACCTCCAATCTGCTTCAGGTTTCTCAAGCTCATGCCGGTGGGCAGGCAGAGGGCAGGCTAGCGCCCCCCAAGACCCCAGGAAGCTGGGCACCCGCAGGCCACCCTGAGGACAGAGCCTCTCCCGTGGGCTCGCAGCACAGCAGGAAGGGGCACCGTGGCCTGTGCCCCCAGCTCTTCAGCAGTGAAACGCCCGCTGAGCATGGCCATGAAGGGAGGGCCGAGCCGATCTCACAGTCCCCCGAGCATGGAAGCCTCCTAAGGGCTGGCACTGGTCTCAGCCTAATGGCTTCACACTTATCTCAGCACCCAACCCACTGCAGGGAGTGGGGGGTTGGGGGACCCTCCTGCGTGGGGGTGAGTGGGGCCCTCTCAGTGCCCTGGATTCACCTGTCATGGCATCCCTTAATAAAGGAAGCGCCCGCCCACCACCAGTCTCTCCACCACACTTAGCCCTCAGTGCCATCCTGGGTGGGGTACGCTGGTGCTCTGCCCTCCCACCAACTCCTGGCTCCTCTGCCCCTGCCACACGCAGGGCCACTGTGCCCTGTCCTGCTGGGGCCCCGACGTCGCCTGCTGCTGGGGCCTGAGCTGCTGCCACCTACGAGGCCACAGCCTCCGCCTCCACACCCAGCACTGGGGTCCACTTGGAGAGGGGGACCCAGCTGCAGGGCAGCGCTGCCCAGTCCCTGCCCCAAATGCCTGTCCCCCACTTACCCGGAGGGTGGACCGTGCACCAGCAGCCGCACCAGGATGCCTGTCACCGCCACCAGAATAGGGTAGTGGTCCACACTCTCTAGGCCTGAGGAGAGGAGGGAGGGGATGAGCCACCCACAGCCCCAACTGGCGGAGGCCACCTGCCCTCCTTCCCACAGGCCAACCGTCCTGGTGTGCTTGCGGACAGGTGCCACTGCTCCCAGCAGAGCCCACGGCCTGCAGTGTGCTGGGCGTAGGTGCCCAGGTCCTCACCTGGCAGCCGTAGGGTGACCACACGGTCAAACAGGTTCCTCTCAGCCGTCACGCGGTTCAGCACCTGGTTCAGCAGCTGTGAAGGCAGGCCCTGCTGGTGGGTGGGCAGGCTTGCCGCTGGGCGCCAGGGTCCCATCCACCTCCCCAGACACACGCACCTGCGCGAGGCGCCGCAGCAGCATCTCAGAGGTGGGCTGGGCCCAGTCAAGGAATATCTCAGGCACTAGCGTGATGGTCATCTCCAGGACACGCAGCAGGCTGACTGACAGGTCAAAGCAGGTGGCACACACCTTGAGCTGCCGGCTGTCCACGAAGTTCCGCTCTAGGCGTTCGGCAGCCTGCTGGATCTGGCCACCGACAGGTAGCCGGGCAGCAGTGAGTGACCTGGCCACACCGCGGATCAGGCCTTCGAAGCCCCACAGGGACCCACCTCCTGAATCATGCCGACAAACTCAGAGAAGGCCCAGTTCAGCTGGTTGAGGACGCTGTTCAGGAAGCTGGGGGCCACGTCAGGTCCCTGCCGGAGCAGGTCAGCCATGTGCTGCTGCAGGAGTGTGGAGGGGCAGGGCTCTGCAGGGGGCCGGGGGGCGGTGTCACTAGACAGGCTACGGGCAGGGGAGTCGAGAACCCACCAGCCTGCCTCGGCCCGCACTCGGCAGGCCCCTGGCAGAACACTCAGGTTGTAAAGGCAGGGGGACGAGGCTGCCCTGCAGGGGGTCGGGGCTAAGCACCCGCCACAGGCTGCACACCATGTCCCGGGCCGAGAGCAGCCCCCCAGCCCAAGCCTGACCCCCAGCCAGTTCTCGATCACACGCCCTTAGGGGAGGGCTGCACCTGCAGGGCAACCGCGACCCCCTCCTCACCCCAAGCCAGGCCGGCTTCCACAGGAGCCTGCCCTGAGCCCTGCCATCCTCTGCCATCCTCTCTGCCCTTGGCCTGGCCTTGGCACACCGCTGAGGTGGTGGATGCCAAGTCTGGGCTGCCAGGCAGCCGTAACCAGAGCCTCTGCTGCGGACTGCCTGGGCCCTGCCCCCAGGCGAATCAATAGTCCCCAGAGCAGCAGGGCCGGCGGGTTGCCCCCCCACTCGTTGTGACTCAGGTCACCCTACAGGCAGGACTGGCAACTGGCGAGGGCATGCGCGGTGACTCTGCATAAGGCACTCGGCCCCTGGGGACCCCTTCAGGCCACGACACTGCCCACAAGGGCAGACACACACCACGTGGGCCAAGGAGAGCCACCCTGTGGGGTGAGCACACGTGGCAGACCGAGCGTAAGTGGCAGAGCCCCAGGCCCAGGGCCAAGGAGGAGGCCCTCAGGCTCCCGGGGCTCTGTGGGACCATGGTCCCAGGAGAGCACAGCCTCTGTTCGTAACCAAAAGCCCCACAGAGACCCTCCGGGCCTAGTCTGCCCCTCCACTATGATGTAGGTGTTCAGACTCAGTGGACAGCAGTGAAGGAGCAGAAGGACACGGTTCCGGGACGAGGCTGCAGGTCAGGGCTCACCCCGCACAAGCTGCCAGCAGCCCGTGAAGTCTGCCCTCACCACTGAGGCCCTGCAGGGCCTTCGAGAGCAAGGGCCCGCGGGACTGGGGAGCAAGGGGAGGAGTCCCAGAGTGTCCTCGGCCTATGAGTCAATGGGAGGGAAACCCGGGGAAGGGCCAGAGAAAAGCGGGCACGTCTGGAGACGCCGCCTGACACTCACTCTGCAGGCTGGGCAGGTGCGCATCCTCGGGCTTGGTTCTCAGCAGGTGTGGCAGCCGCGTGTAGCGGTACCCGAAGCCACAGCCCTGGGTGTGGCAGGTAGGAGGTCAGCAGGGCAGGGCAGCCCCCCCTCTGTGCAGCCACAGCCGCCTCTGCTCGCGCCAGGCTTACCCGCCAGAGCCGCACCAGGATCCAGTTGGTCTGAGCCCAGGGCCGCTGCTCATAGGGGGCCAGCAGGCTCCTCACCATGGCGATGCGCCTGTGGGGGCGGGCATGGGGTGGGCGCAGTGAGGCTGGGCACGGCGCGGTGCTGAGCAGGGCGCACCCCCCAGCCCCACTCACTGCTGCTCAGGGACCCGCTCCACAGCCCGCAGGGAGGAGGGGTAACACACGTAGCTGGCCAGCGCCTGCAGCAGCGAGTCCCGGATGTCTGCTGGGACAGGCATACCTCAGCAGGTGCCTGGCATGAGCCCTGGCCCGTGCCATGCGCCCACCTGCCGGCACGTGTGTGTGAGGGCCTGCCCTAGGGACCGCCCCACCCCAGCCCCCCAAGCCCTCCACAGGGCACCTCACCAGTGCCCACGATACGCGTGTCGGCAAAATGTTTGGCAAGGATGGCAGCCAGGCGCGTCAGGGTCTCTTCGTAGCCTGCAGGGTCGGGGAGCGGGAGCTGTTGGCCAGGACCAGGGGCTCCAGAAGCTGAGGTGCAGGCTCGTTGTGGGGGCTGGGCCGGCATTGGGAGGACAGGGCCCCCTGGAACCCATCTCAGCACACCCCCTGCTGGCCAGGCAGTCAGAGCCCCTTGTGCACCCACAGCCCCACCCCTCCGGACGGCCTGTCCTAGCTGGAACAGGGCAGGGGGCTAGCCAGCCCACAGCCTGGTCCAGGCAGAAGCTGCCACACCTGGCCTGGCCCCCCAAGGCCCCAGCACACTGCCCACGCCCCGTGGCCCGCAACAGGGTGGAAGGGGGAGAGGCCGGCTGGCTCCTGTGCCACAGCGGCGCTGGGAGGGGAAAGATGGGCCCAGCCTGCACTCCACTTGGTCAGCTTCCTCCTGGGCCCAGGGAGGGCTGCTGGTACTGGGCAGGGCTCTGCACCACCCACACGGCTGTGTGCTGCTGGGCACTGCGCAGGCCCCTCACCTGGCAGCTCCTCCATGCTGTGCACGGGGCCGAAGTAATTCTTGAGAGCGCTGTAGCTGTTGATGGCCACGCTCAGGTAGAACTCAGGCATGAAGGCAAAGAGTGGGCCCGTCTGGTCACTGTGCTCAACGGTGCGCACACAGACACGCAGCAGCCAGTAGATGTCCCGCATCTTCTCCTGTGGCAGACGTGCAGGGGCTGCTGGGCCGCTCACAGGAGGGTCCAGGGGCAGCGCCTGGTTGGGGGCCAGGAAAGGCCTCCCAGGACTGTGCAGCTCCCCCCCACGCACCCTGAGCCCTGACGCTGGGTTCGTCGGGGTGGGGCTCAGATGCCCGCTGGCAAGGGGGGCACCTCACCCAGACCAGCTCCAGGGTACAGCCTCTGAAGGCACAGAGGCCTTTCAGCAGCACAGTGCATGTGCAGAGAAGCTGGTGTCAGGACACTGCCCAGTGCCCAGAGGGCTGCGGGGGCGGGGCAGTGAGGCCAAGACAGCAGACAAGGGGACAGGATGGCCAGGAGCAGCGAGGCACTGCTGGGCGGTGGGGGCCAGGGACAGTGGGACCAAGAGCCAACGCATACCTGGGGGCTGACAGAAACAGTGCAGAGGTCAGGCGCACCGGAGTAGCAGACCCAGGGCAGGGCAGAGGGGATGCGGCCCGAGACTGGGGCAGCACAAGGTGCCTCGAGATGCCTCCAAAGAGGGGGTGCCGAGGGGCAGGTACAGATTTGGAGTTCAAAGGGGAAGCTGCTGGGAAGGCAGGAGGTGGCGCGGCGGCTAGGGGACAAGTGCCACACGAGTAGACAAAGACTGCCACGGGCCCTGCTCCCCACTGCAGTGCTTAGACAGCCCATTAGGTTCCCATGAAGGGGCCCAGGACAGGTCGCTGGCCGGAACAAGGAGCGTAAGTATCTGGACTTGAGCCCAGCTCTCTGGTGTGCTTGCAAACCCGAGAACCCCAGGTGTGAGCAGACATCAGGGCAGGGCGAGGCCTGCGTGCATGCACATGCAGAGAGCCAGGAGCCTGCTGGGCCGGAGGGAAACAGCACCGACACAGCCAGGGGCTGCCAGAATGGACTAGAGATGGGCTCCCAAAGGCAGGGTGTCCACGCAGACCCTTCAAGAGCGCTTCAGGGCAGCGAAGGGCTGTGCCAGGCCAGAAGTGAGGGGATTGGGGAAGCCAAGACCAGAGAAGGAAGGAGCCAGGCAGCAGCTGTGCACACGTGGAGCAAGGCAGGCGTCAGGGTGCTTCCTTCACTGACGCAGGAGCTGGGGTGTGAGCCCTGAGCACGCACAGGGAAGGAGGCGGGACACACTAGAGGGGCCAGCTAGGACAGCCCGTGGCGAGCCCCGTGCTCCAGGGGGGGCCGAAAGCTGCTCCTCTGATGTCAGGCACGAGGCAGGAGAGCCTGCTGCCACCACTTCTAGCCAACACTGTACGAAGTCCAGGCCGGGGCAATCAGATTCAAACAAGGGGTAAAAGGCACCCGGCGCTGGAAGGAAGGGTAAAGCATCTTTGTTCGCAGATGAAAGGATCTGACACACAGAACACCTGAAGATGCCACAAAAAAATGTTAGAACTACTGAATTCAGGAAATTTGCAGGATTCAAAATTGACACACAAAAATTGGCTGTTTCTACATGTTAGCAATTAACCCAAAATGGAAATCAAGGAAATAATCCCAATTACATTAGCATCAAAAAGAATGAAATAGGTATAAATTTAACCACAGAGGCCAAAGACTGCAAACCTTAAAATGTTGCTGAAAGAAATTCTGAAAGCTACAAATAAATGGACAGACATCCCATGTTCGTGGAATGGGAGACAATATTGTTGCATTGTCAATACTACCCAAAGCAATACGCAGATTTAATGTAATTCCTATCAAAATCCCAATAGTATTTTTTGCAGAAATAGAAAAATGTATCATAAAATTCATATGGAACCTCAAGGGACTCCCAAATAGCCAAAACAATCTTGAAACAGAACAAAGTTGTTGATCTCACTCTTAACTTCCTCACTTCAAAACTTACTGCAAAGCTACAATAACGAAAACAGTGTGGTACTGGCCTAAAGTCAGGCATGTAGATCAATGCGATGGACTAGACAGTCCAGACATAAACCGTCACAAAGGTGGTCAAATGATTTTTTTATAAGGGTGCCAAGACCATTCAATGGGGAAAAAACTTTTCAATAAATGGTGCTCAGAAAACTGGACATCCATATACAAAAGAATGAAGCTGGACCATTACCTCACATCATACACAAACTTAACTCAAAATGGATCAAAGACCTAAGCTTTAAGAGCTAGAACTATAAAACTCTTAGAAGACGACATGGGAGAAAAGCCTCATGACCTTCGATTTGACAATGAGTTCTTGGACATCACAACAAAAGCACAGGCAAGGAGAGAAAAATAAACTGAACTTCACCAAACTTAGAAACAGCATCAAAAGACACAAAGAGGAAAAAGGCAACCCACAGGAGAAAATACTTGTAAATCATCATCTGATGAGGTAATATCTAGAATATATAAAGAACTGTAACAAATCAACAACAAAAAAACAATTTAAAAATTGAGCAAGTGAAGCTGGATAGACTTTTCCCCAAAGAAGATACACAAATGGTCAATAAGCACAGGAAATGATTCTTAACATCATTAATCATTAGGGAAATCAAATAAAAAACACAAAGAGATACACTTCACACTGAGTAGGATGGCTATTATAAAAAAAAAATAGAATAACGAGTATTGGAAGAGATGGTAAGAAAACAGGACCCTTGTGCCCTGCCGGCGGGGCCATGGAAGGGTGCAGCCGCTGAGGAAAATGGCGTGGAGGCCCCCCAAGAAGCCAGACACAGGATCACCACGTGATCCAGCTACTCCGCTTCTGGGAGCTGAAAACAGGGCCTTGAATAGAGGTTCGCACGCCCGCATTCACAGCATCATTCACGATCGCCAGAAGGTGGAAGCGGCCCCAGTGTCCATCAACGGATGATGGACAAGCAGAACGTGGGACGCAAGTACAATGGGGTCATCCAGCTTGGAAAGGAGGGAGATCCTGATGCCGGCTCCACACACAGACCATGAGGACACGACGCTCAGTGAAACAAGCCAGCAACAGACAGAGAACGCTGCGTGGTCCCACTGCTGGGAGGTCCCTACAGCGGACTCACAGAGACGGAAAGTGCCCGCGGGGCCCAGGTGGGGCGTCACCGGTGTCAGGGCCTCGTTTGGGACTGTGAGGAGTCCAGGAGACAGGCTCCTCGGTGCCGTGAGCATGTGGACCGCTACTGACCTGCACACTTACGATGATGACGACGGTGTTAAGTGCTGTGCTGTATGAGCCTTACAATTTTTAAAAATGGGTAAGATAGTAAATTTCATGTCATGTATATTTTATCACAATTTGTAAAGAAGGAGGCATAGACTTGGGAGGGGCGGCCAAATTGCCTGCGGGGACAGAAGGATGGTGAGATCCTGGCGGGAGGTTGGAGGAGGGAGTGGGGGTGAGCTGCAGGCAGTTTCCGCTGGGGAGGAGCCGCCAGGACAAAGAGCCAACAGAGATGGCGGAGGGACGGCAACCCTGGCCTGGATTCCCAGCGCAGGGGAGGGATGCCCAGGGAGAGACGCTGGACCGTCTGCCCCCTACCCAAGGCTGCCCCCCGCTGGCATCCTGCTGTGCGTCCCCAGCGTTGGGTGGCAGCAGGCACGCTGCAGGCCCTGGGCACACGGATGCGCAGGAGTGATGACAGTGCGGGGAGCTGGAGGGAAGCGGAGAGGGGAAGGCCAGGGCCACCCCAGAGCACCTGGGCAGGCAGTGGAGGGGGCAGGGTGTGCGCCCTCTGTTCCCCCAGGGAGGACCTGAGGGCTGGAGGAGAGCTGGGACCTAAGAACAGAATCTTCCCTGGGTAAGGGGGCCTGAGAGGCTCAGGGCTGCGGGACTGGGCACCTGCAGGCCAGAGGCCTGGGAGGGCAGGGAGCACGGGGCGCCTGGCACGGCCCTGCCCAGTCGGGGCCCAGTGAACCTGGGGGGTGGGGGTAGGGCGGCAGGCATCCGGGGCCACGCCTCCTCACCTGGGAGTAGACAGTGGCGCGCACCCAGGCCAGACGGCGGCTCAGGTGGTCCAGCTTTTCCGAGAAGACCTTCTGGCTCTTGGTCAGCTCCGCAAGGATGTCCTTCCTCTGCCACCCAGGCGGGAGGATGGTCAGGCCTCGGCCCCACAGCGGGGCCCACTCTGTGCCCAGGGCAGCCTCACGGGGGCAACCTGGGGCCCAGGGCAGGCAGGGGGGTAGGCGGCTGCACCGTGCTGCCTGCCTGATGGGGAGCCCCGGCCAGCCTCCCCACAGCGCCCCGGCCGGCTCCCAGGACGTGGCCGGGGACGCAGCTGGGGGCACGTGAGCCCTGGCCGGCACCCGCGCCCAAAGAGCAGCCCCAGTAGCTCTCTAGTCCTGGCCGAGTGGGGCCTCTGCACCTGGCTTGGGGCGGGGGGTGGGGGGACACACCAGCCCGGGCATGCTGGCCCTGTGCCCTGGGCAGGGACAGCCAAGGCCAAGGGGCTCCAGGAGCAGGAGAGCCCAGCCCTGCTTCCTGCTGACTCTGCGAGGGGCCGGGAAGCACTCAGGGCCGCATCCATAATTGACGAGAGAACTCACACCAGCACTTAGAGGGCTGGGGCGGGCACCCTGGCACAGCCGAGGCTGGGTGACGGGGCTCAGGCCATGCCTGGCCCTGCTGCCAGCCCACTCGCTCAAGTGGTACAGCCAGGGTGGGGCTGGGGACAGGGAGATTGCTGGGGTGACCCCCAGACACAGGGGCAGAGCCCTGCCTGGGGGACCCTGAGTGGGCCAGCTGCCCTGGGGCAACACCCCTTACCCGCGTGGGGCACCGGCGGAGCTTATCTTCCGTGTCCCTCAGAGCCACCGCATACTCGCTGACGTCGTCAGACACACCCACCATCTAGGTCAACGGACACAACACGCCCGGTGGCCCGGGGGTCTCTGGTCAGGCTTCCAAGCTCAGACCCGGGACGGCCCCTCCCACAAGGTCACTGGCTCAGGCAGGCCTACGCGGCCCAGACACGCTCGCACACGGCCCCCCTGCAGACACACGGGCCCAGGCACACACGCTCCCACGCACTGAGCGCTGCCGGTGCGTGAGACCTTGCCCAGCTGCTGGTGCACGCCGAGGCCGTACGTCATGACAGCGCCGTCCAGGACCTCCAGCAGGGAGTTCTCGGTGGTGGGCTGCTCGGGCTCCTCAGGGGGCCGCCCCAGCAGCAGACCCTCATCCCAGCGGCTGCCCTCGACTGCGGAGGGAAGGGGAAGGTGGGAGCCACCAGCCTCCTGGGCCACGAGCCAGCCCGGCGGAGCCTCACAGTCTGGGAGGAGGGCCCACCCTGCTCACGCCCAAGGAGAGGCCACAGGGAGAGCACGGGGCGGGCGGGCCGAGGTTCCGCGCTCAGGGACCTATTTCTGTAACATCGATTGCCCGCCCTCACGGTGCACTTCCCACGCCCTTGAGACATTGCCAGGCTGCAGGACTGGGGGTGGGGGTGCACTCGGCACTGGTGAATAGCGCAGGGCAGCTGCCGGGCACCTACTGTCTTCACGGGTCCTCTGCTCCGCGCTCAGCGTGCGGACCTTCACTCTCTCCGAGGTGCTCAGAGGCCGCCGCGGGGTCATGAGGCTCACAGCTGCTGTGCTGAGGAAGCGGTTGGCTCGGCCCAGGGTTGGAGAACTGAGCCAGCCAGGCCGGGGCAGGGGCAGCGCATCCCCCACGGCTAGGGCCTGCATGGGGCGCTGTGGCAAGAGAGGGGGCCAGACACCACTCAGCCCCCAGGACCCCAGCCCACTCGGGGCTCCCTTGATTTGTGGGGCTGGGAAATGGGCAGGGAGGCTCATGCCCCACCCACAGCCAGGAACCTGCGCAGAGCAGGAGGCCCTGCGTGATAGCCCTGCCCTCGGCACAGGGGGGACAGCCCCCCGCAAGGCCCCCGCCTGCCCCTACCGCGGCACCTGGGCCGCAGCCGGTGCCGACTCCTCAGCCTCGTCCAGGTCATCCATGGTGGCCGCCTGGAGCTCCAGCGGGTCGATCAGGATGTTGGCCCTGGAGGCGAGGTCATCTGCGGGCAGTGGCGGGCAGGCGCTCAGGCTGGTGCAGGGAGGCCGAGCTGCCTGACAGGCGGGGGCGGCTGGACCCATGGACTGCTGTGCCCGCGCCCCACTCCACTCAAGCCACCTGCTCTCTGCAGCCGGCAGCCCTTTGCTCTCGGGATGGGGCACGGGATGGCGCACCTCCCCGGGCTCCACCACTCCTCACTGCCCATGACCTCTCGCTCCCTGAGCCCCATCCTCCCACGGCTCTGTGGCTCCCAGCCTCCACCTGCCCTATAAGCAGGAGGCCTCCCGTACATTCCCTGCTGCATGCTGCCTTCCCCATTCCTGGATGCCAGCTGCCTCCTAGCACCTCCTGCCCCCACCCTCACCCCGAGCAACACGCCTCCTCCGGCAGCACCCTGCCCCCGCCCCTCACTGCCTGGACTGATGGCCCCTGGGCCCCCTTCTCCCACCCAACATCCAGAAGCAGCTGCTCACCATGCGAACTCCTAGCCTCACTTGCCACCTCCAGGCTTTCCAGGCTGTCCCTGGCCTGGAGGGAGCCTAACCCACCTTATAATCCGAGGGCCCCGGCTCCCGGCCTGCCCGCCCCACCCCCACCTTTGCCTGCTGTGTGCCGGGCCCTGGAGCTGAGCCACCTGAGCCACCTGCGCTCCTCCGTGGCCATGCGCAGAGCTGCTCCTGGATGCGCCCCCATCCAGCCCCGACCTGGCCCCTCCAGCAGCACACAGCCCCCTCGGGGGCCGTCTGGCGGGCGCAGGGCAGCTCAGCAGCCCACAGAACAGGCTGGGCCACCCCCGGCCCCGCACTGCCCCGAAGGGCCATGCCACGGCCAAGCGCACCTTTGAGTGTCTTCCGAAGGTGTGAGAGCAGGCCTCCGAGGCGCTGCAAGTCGAAGTAGTCTACCTTGCCGTTATAGAAGATCTGCGGCGGGACGTAGGCCTCTGCAAGGGGCCGAGGCCGGGCCAGCAGTCAGACCTTCCAGAGGCCAGCCCCGCTCCGGCCTAGCCACACACCCAGGTGTACAGCATGGCCTCCCCACCCTCCACCACGTCAGGCCAGTGCCCATAATGGCACAACTGGGAGGAAGGGGGAGTTCCTGGCTGTGGCCACTCGGAGGGGAGCATGAGAGAGGCCAGACCCAGCCCTGCAGGACAGACGCAGGGGCCCCAGCACCTCCAGGCCGCACAGGCATTCCCCACACAGGGCTGCGGGCGGCTGGGCAGGCAAGGACTGAGCATGGGGCCCGAGTGAGAGTGGGCTCGGCTGCAGCACACATGGTGCCTGCCGCCCCGGGGAGAAGGCGCAGGGCAGGGGCCTGGGGCGGCCACACCCCACCCTCAGCCCCCTGCCCCTCTCACCCTCGCTGAAGGAGGCGTGGGGGTTCGAAGCCTTGTACTCGTCCCAGTAGTAGCGCAGGGCAGAGATCAGGCGGTGCAAGAAGCAGACCATGTACTCAGGGGGGCAGAGCATGGTCATGTTCTGCAGGTGATGGACAAGGGACACACACGTGCACTGTCCAGGGCCAGCCTCTCACCCAAGGCCCTGCCAGGACCCTGGGCTGAGCAGGGAGGGCAGGGCGGCAGGGGCGGGACAGGGCTGGGCAGGGCCGAGGCGTGCTGAGGGGCCAGGGGCCCGGGCGCAGACCCTGCAACAGAGCCAGTGGTCCGTGCGGGTCTGGCCTAAAGGATACCTACCCCACGGCTGCTGGCATTCTCCTGTAGAAACTTCCGGAACTTACTCAGGAAGATGTACCTAGAAGCTTCACCCTTCAAGGCAGGAAAAATGGAACTGAGATGAGCTGAGGATACTCAGACTGGACTTGCTCAGTGCAGGGCCTTAGCCTGGACCCTGCCATGGGGCCTGAGCCAGCCCCTGCCCTCTGGGTCTCAAGGCCCCCACCGCCCCCTACCTGCCAGGGACCCACACGGGTCTGGGAGCCACTCACCCCATTGACGTCTTTATTGTTCAACAGCAGCTTCAGGATCTGGACCTGCAGCTCTTCCACCACTGGGTGGGGGGGGGACACAAACAGTCCTCTCAGCGGGGCCTTGCCCTTGTGCAGGCTAGGATTGGGGCTCCCCTACCAGCCTGCCACTGCGTGCCCTGGGCACACAAGCACCCCGTGCCCAAGCAGGGCCCACCTTCGATGCGCTTCCTCAGTCGCTGGCAGCCCCGCTCGTAGGCACGCCGCCGCTGCCGCTCCTCAGGGGCCTCGGCCTCCTCACCGTCTGTGCCCTGGGCAGGGGTGGGCGGGAGGTAGCAGAGCTCACCTGGGATGCCCAGGCCTGCGTCCCACGGAAGACCCACAGCCCAGCCCCAGCTCCTGGACACCGGGCGGCTCAGACACCCTGGGCCTGCTGCCCCACCTCGGCCGCCCACCTCCCTGCCGGAGCGGTGGGGCCACCAGGTGGTGGGAATGAGCTCCTGCAGGCCGGCCTCCTCCACGCGCAGCGGGCTCTTGATGTAGAAGAAGACCACGGAGCGGAGCACGTCGAAGCTGGAGGCCGTCAAGGCAGAGCTGTGCTGAGCAGAGGCTGCCCGCCCTGGGAAGCCCTCCCGAGAGCCTAAGATGGGCCCGCCACAGTGCCCCAGGGTGGCATCGCCGCCATGGCCCAGCTCCCCAGCCCAGAGCCCTGGGACAGGTGGTGCTGTCAGCCTCACCAGGCCGACCAGGTAAGGCATGCCCCAGGCAGGCAGAGGTGGCCAGGACATGGGCTGGACAGGGGGCCTGGCAGCTCTGCGCCTCCCAGCGGCTGCACACCCGGCAGTGGGGGTGACTGTTAGCATGGTTCTCAGCCGAGGCCCACAGCCACACCCCTCCTGTTCACGGGGTCCTTGGCATTTCCAGAAGAGGAGCGAATTCCTAAAAGACGACCTTACAGGGCCCTCCGCACCCCCGTGGTGGGACACAGACAGCAGTGTGGCACTGCGGCTGGGAAGGACGCGCCCTGCTGGTGCCTCCACCTGCCACAGAGCCCAGGGCATGGCAGCCCCTCAGAAAGTTCAGTGGCACCCTCGCCGTTCTGCAGGGAGTGCCGGGAGGCAGGAGGCCCACAACCCACCCCGGCCTGAGGGATGCCAGGGCCGCCTGGCAGCAAGGGGAGGATACAGGACATTGCTGAGCAGGAACTTGCGGGACCTCTCGTGCCGCAGGATAGCGATGGTGAGCCGCAGGCAGTGCACCTGTGGGGAGGGGGCCTCAGTGCAGTGGGGGCAGGGGCAGGGGTGGGCAGGCTCAGGGCAGGGGCAGCAGCTCCCACCTGCAGGCTCAGGTCTGGGACGATGGGTGAGAAGCGGTACAGCCGCAGCAGGGACATTGTCAGCTGCTTGAGGCAGTCCTGCACCTCATAGTCCTGGGGAAGAGACAGGCTGCACCCTGGCCAGCGAGGGCCTTGTGTGGCCAGCCCGCACCTTCCCACCCTGACGCGGCCTCACCTCCATGAAGAGCCACAGGAGGTCCAGGACCTGGCGCACGGCAGACTGCGCCCGCACGGGGCTGCCCGCCTTTACGAGGCTCAGCAGGAAAGTCATGAGCACGGCCTCCACCAGGTACACCTTGCACTGCGCCAGGTGGGACAGGGAGGTGAGGTTCCGTGCCGCCCAGAGGGGCCCTTGAGACAGAGGCCCTCCCTCCACAGCAGCACAGCTCTCTCAGCCCATCAACCTTCTCTCTAGGACGTCCCCTCCCCTGGGGGACATCCTTGGGGTCTGAGGCCCGGTCACAGAGGCCCTCCCAGGGGTGGGCTGGATCCCAGGTGGCTCCACATCCCAGCTTCTGGCACAGCTTCACTGTGGCCTGCCTTGCCCCAAGTGCCTCTCACCAGAAGCGGTGCGAAGTGCTGGAAGATGTGGGTCAGTGTGAGGAGGACGGTGGGCTGGCCCTGCAGCCGCCACTCGGAGCCTTCCTTCTCCACCAGCCGCCCTTCCTGCAGGCAGAGAGGGTGCAATGAGGGCAGAGGGCTGCAGGAGGCCCCAGCATGCCTGGCGCAGGCCCCAGCTCACCACAGCATCCAGCTCCACGCCGAGTACGGCCTGGAAGCAGCCCAGCAGCTTCTGTGCTCGCGCCAGGTCAGCGCGCGGGGGGTCCTGGAGGGGCCGGTAGCCCGGAACTGGGTAGGTACCACAGAGTTAAGCCAGCAACGCCTGATGTGCAGCTCTGACAGTCCCCTCCCAGGAGGCCCTGGGGAGCAGCCGAGGCTCTGGGGCAGGGCAGGGCCGGGAGGCTGAATGGCCCGGCTCGCGTCACCTCTGTGCCCGGCCACTTCATCTGCCTCATCTGTCCACTGGAGACCACACCACCACGGCTGCTCAAGGGCTTCCCTCAGTACCCCCTTCGCTGGGCCCTCCAAAGTCCTCATGGCAGCCAGGGCCCGCCTCCAGTCCGAGGCCCCGGGGTAGGGAGGCCTGCCCCAAGAACTTCCAAGCGGCCCACAGCCTTCTCCCCAAAAAGGATATCGCAAGGGACGGCTGCCGAAGTTGAAGGCCACAGACTCCTTGAAGGACAGGCTGATGGCTGGGAAATAGGCCATGCCCAGGCCCCTGGATAAGTTCTCAAAGGCAGTGCCCAGCGACACGCCATTCCTGGAGCAGAGGGGAGCTCTGTGAGCCGGTGCTAAGAAGGACGTGCTGGGAATACACGAGGGAGCAGGCCACTGGCCTCCACCATCAGGTGACCGACTACAGTTGGCCCTGACCCCTTAGAGGGACTCGGGAACAGAAGGCAGCCCCCAAAGCCAGGCCTGTGGATACGGCAGGAGACTCACAAGCAGAAGGACAGGGTGCCATCATCCAGGTCGATCAAGCAGCTCACTATGTCCCCAGCTGCCCAGGCCTGCCAGGGAAGGAGGCCTTATGGATGGGCCTGGAAGTGCAGCCTCCCTCGGCTACATCTCCACTGCCACCCAGGGAGACTGGCCATAAATGCAGAGGACCTGAGTCCCTGTCCCCTCCCTGGTGCCCTCCAGTCCCTCACAGCTGCCCAGGGACTCCCACCAGGCTGTGGGGACAGGTGTGGGGCAGGTGGGCTACAGGGCTGGGCCCCACCTTGCCATAGTTTGTTGTGGTCACGTTCCACTTGCGCACCCGGTTGCCGTCATAGGCGTAGGAGTGGTGTGTGTCTCCAACCCCTTCCTAGGGAGGGAGGGACAGAGGCCTGGGGCTGGTGGTTGGGGCAGGGCCGGAGCCCCCAGCCCCCAGCCTTGCCCACGTGGCTCTGCAGGGGACCGACACTGGAAGGGATGCAGTGGGGCCGCTGTTCTGGCTGGCCTGCCCCAGGACAAGGCGGGACGTGTTCCTCTCCACCAGGGCAGGCCGGACGGGGGGGCCTGAGCAGACTGGTGCAGTCTGGGGCCACCGGAGCCCTGGTGAGGCCCCCACACACACCTCCTGATTGAAGCGGCAGCTGACTGTGCACCAGCCGATCTGCATGAGTCCCTGGGAGGAGATGAGCACCTCGTAGACCCATTTCCCTGGAAAAGCCCAGTCGGGCCCGGTGGGTGAAGAGCCTGGTTCCTGTCGGCCCTCACACTCCCTCCCAGCCCCCCAGGCCGCAGCAGAGCAGAGTCACACCTTTGTACACGCATGTAGTGGAGCGGATAGTGCCAAAGTTGCTGTGTCCAATCACCTGGGTGGAGAGCAGGGCTGGCAGGCCTCCCAGGCACACAGAGCGCCACCCCCAGAAGAGCGGCCCCAGCCCGGCTCGGCTCGAGTCGGTGGCACTGGCCTGCCGGGGCCACCACAGCTCTGTGCCTGTCGGGGTGAGGGTCTAGCCCTGTGCATGGGGTTCTAGGCCAGAGAGTAAGGGGAGGGGCTCACGGCTGTGCTGGAAGAGCCCCGGGCTGGAGCCATATCCAAAGCATTTCAGGGCTGTGCCAGGAGGACTTGGGGCCTGAGGACCCAGTGGGCCACACCAGGAGGGCATGGGGCTGTCCGGAGGGGCTGGGATCGGGGCCCCACGCCCTGCTCGCTCACCCCCAGGAGGTCATCATCCACCAGAAGCAGCCCCTCAAAGCCTGCTGTGTGGTCCAGGACCACAGTGGGCGGACCAAGCCGACCTTCCACCTGTCCTGAAAAGGAGAGAGGCAGGCATGGGGTTAGGCAGGGCACAGGGTCCACCAGAACATGTAGAGGGCACTGAGCTCACCTGGCAGCCCCCAGGGCCCGAGGTCCCAGCCCTCACTCCCTCGGTCCCATTCTATAAGCTGCCACGTACCGTGGCTTTCCTCATCCTTGTCGTCCACATGTAACAGCTGGTCCAGATGCTCTGGCAGGTTCTGGAAGTTCAGGGGCTTCCTGGGGAGAGCAAGAAGCTGTGAGGGGCCCCAAAGCCCTTGAAACCAGCCAGAAGGCACTAAGTCCCTCTTCTTCCTCCTCCCCCAGCTGCAGAGGTGGCTGCCTGGACTCCAGAAGAAGGGCTGTGCCTGGTCCTAGATTCTAGCACTGGGGGTCAGAATGCTGGATTATCTGCCAAACTGAACATTGCAACCAGTCCAATGCACCTGCAGACAGCTTAAGCTGAGCCTGAATTCCCCCATCCGCAGACAAGAGACCAGGCATCAGAGAGGCTATGAGGGTTCCAAAGAACAGTGTGCCCCCCGCATGGCCTGTAGCCTGCCCACTGTCAGCAGTGGCCGCGCTGTGGGAGCAAGTGGCTGGGAGAAGGGCCCATGACCAACGACAGCAAGTCCAGCCTTTGACCCCAGACCTGTGGGCCCAGCCAGGGAAGTCTGTGTGTTGAATCAGACATACCCTGGGAAGATGAAGGACCCAGCTCTCCAAGCGCTGGCTGGCTCTGTCCAGCACCCACCTGCACAGGAGCACAGAGCACATAGCCCACCTATCTGCCACCTGCCCACTAAAGAAATCTGTCTAGGCTGATGATCTCATCTTCCCTACACATGCCCAGAGGAGAGAGGCTGTCTCATGCCAGCCAGCTCTGTCCTGGGTCCGCTGCTAAGTACAGCAGAGGAGGGTGGCAGTAACCAGCAGGTCTTGAGCAGGCCAGAGGCCTGACACCCATCTGGGCACAGCCCGCAGGCTGCTGGCAGCTGCCCTTCCTCCTCTAATCCCGGCTCCTGCCTCATCTGCCTGCCTAGAGACCAGGCTCTGGACAAGGACCCCCTGGCAAGGCAGCTCTGGCCCGTGCTGAGGGTCCCCCTGCCCCTACATGGAACTACTACTAAGCCTGAGCTGCAGGAGGCGGGGGCACAGGAATCCTCCTCCTGCCCCTGCTGAGCCCCAGGCCCAGGTCAGGTGGCAGCCATGCAGTGGGATGCCCTGCTGGTAGCATGGAAGGCTGGAGCCAACTCCATCTCTGGGTACCCCAGTGGGTCTCGGGGCCTCTGCCATAGAGCCCGTGCCAGCTCACTCAGGAGGGCTGCCCCAGCCGCACCCAACCCACCTGGCTGAGCCCGGCACCTGCCCGCCCTTGCTGGGTCACCCGGGTCCCAGTCCAGGGCTCTGCACCCACACAGCAACTGACTGATGGCCCTGCCACCTGCCCTCCCTCCTGGCAGCCGCAGCACCCACGGCAGCTGGCCCATCTCCGGTGTCACAGGCAGCCGGGATCAGATGGCCTGGGGAGCAGGCGCAGGGCAGGGCTGGAGGTGGGCGGCAGCCCTCCACAGGCAGGACGCTCTGGCCACCACAGCCACTGAAGTGGAGGCCACAGTGCTGCCCGTGTGCCTGTCCAGAGCACAGGCTGTGGGAGGCGGAAGCCCTGGGCTGGCGAGGGGCTGGGAGGGGGCGCCCGGCCTCTGTGTGGGGTGGTGGAGCCCACACAGCCCTTGGGAAGAGACTCAGCACCAGTCTTGGGAGTGAGGGCAGCCCCAGCGCCCCAGCCCGGCGAGATTCCAGCCCTGTGCACTCTCCTGGCCTTGTGACGAAGCAAAATTCCCTCCCAGCCACAGCAGCCGGGGCCTGTGAGACCCCTGGCCTGAAAGATGCCCACTGAGATCAACCTCTAATGTCGAAAGGCACCCAGAGGACAGCATCTGACAGAGAGGGCCCAGACCCCTGGGAGCTTCCGGAGGCACGGGAAGGCCCAGCAGCCTCGTGCCGGCTACGGTGCCGCAGCCCATCTGCGTGAGAGCGCCGGCTTGCTTCCATCAAGCCATCAGATGTGTGTAACTGGGGCTGATGTGGATACTGTGTGTCATCCTATGTCAGTTACCACACACAAAATGAAATGTTTTATAATTTTCCTTACAGCATCATCCAACCCACATTCCCCTGAGGTAAAGAAAACAAAAGATTCAAACTCAAATGGTCAGCAAGGCGTTTCTCTTCTCTGATTTCTAAGTTTCCGCTGGAGCACACCCATAACTTTGATGTGGACTGACCTTAAATGTACTAAAACTGTATGGGAAAGGGGCAGGTGGGGCCTGCTGTGTGTAGACTCGGCAGGGGGTACAGAGGGCTGGCGGGAGGGCAGCGCAGGCAGGTGCAGAGGGGGCAGGCGCCGGCCGTGGAGCAGGTGTGTGGTGCTGCGCCGACGCCGAACGTGCACCCCCTGCTGCCCCCCCAAGCCTCTGAAGGAAGGTAGTAGCGCTGCCAGGGGCAGCCTGGCCAGAGGTCTCGGCCGGGACCAGGACAGTGGGGACGAGACCCCAGCTGGCCAGCCCAGAGCCCAGGCCCATCTTCCCACAGGCGGCCTCCAGCCTCTCCTCTGGCCCCAGGCGGGGAGGAGCGGCCACGGTACCTGCTGGTGGCCCCAGGGAACGCGCCATCGGGAGAGGAAAAGACGTGGCGCAGGTAGTCGTTGAGCAGCTTCTCGTGCACAATGCCTGGGCCACGGGTCAGAAAGGAGAGAAGCGTCACATGGCCAGTGCAGCTTCCAGCCTCTGCTGGCCCCCGAGGCTCCTGGTCCCAGGCCAGCCATAGGGGTCAAAAGAGCAGTCACGCACTGCTGTGTGGCTGCTTGGAGAGAAGAGCTGGTTCCCAGGAACAGGGGCTGCCGCAGGCTGAGGCCTACTGGGCCCAGGGCTGCACCGCCTCATCCCCTCCTCCTCCTTCCCTCAACACAAGCCAGCCCTGCCAGCCCTTACCTGTGACCCCGGATTTCTCAGCATCTGAGGTCAGCCTATAGCTCTTGCGGGAGAAGGACGTGCCGGCCCCTTTGGACGCCATCCTTCATCTCTCATGGGCAGCCGGTGGTCCTGGGGGTGCTGAGCCAGAGGCGAAGCCTGTCTGTTCAAAGCCAGCCTTCTCCCACACTGACCTCCGTCCTGGGGAGGCAGCTAGGCTGGGAGGCCAGATGCATGTGCACACACACAAACCCCGGAGGAAAGCACGGGCCCCCAGCTTCCTACACAGGGAGGGTGAAGGGGTCTGAGCTCGTGTGATGGCCCCACCACGTCCCAGCACTCAGCACAGGGCCTCACAGACAGCAGGTGCAGGGTGCTGAGCCAAACCAAACGCTTCGACCCTGGGAACATCAACCCGAGGTGTCCAAAGGGAGGCGGTCAAGGGTGGGGGCAGAGCTGCCATACCTTTCCGTCATGAGCCACACTGGGTGCAGCCATGTTCGGAGTGAGCCCTACACCACGTACCCCCGAGTGTAGGCCACCATCTAAGAGTTCAGTGCCATCTCCAGCTACCAGTCCTGCTGACCCCTGAAGCCAGGACCACCTTCCCAGCTCCGGGACCCGCCCGCCTGTCGTCCAAAGGCCTGCTGGCTTCCTCCTGCTGCTCACACACAGACTACATCAGAGCACCACCCCTGCCGGGCCCTCATCCCAGACCCCACTGGTCTGCCCACTGCGCCCACCTGTCACACATCACGTTACTGCTGTGGCTGCTTCAAAATCTGTGCTAAGTCGCTAGCGCCTCACTGACCTAGGGCTGTGATGCATCCGGCACAGTTGCCACTTACCACATGTGACTATTTAGATTTGAATTAAGTTTAAGCAATTAAAATTTCAACTTTTCAGTTATATCGGCCACATTTCAATGATTCAGTCGCCACGTGTGGACGGAAAATACCCATTCCCCCCATCACAGAGTCGTACAGAACGGCGCTCTTCCGCCTTGGACAGCACCCTCTTCTCTGCAGCGCTGACTCTTATCTCACCCCAGACAGGCCTCTACCCCCGTCCCGTCCCGCCCCGCCCGCTCACGGCGGCCCACGTGTGTCCCGGGCAGGGTGGCCCTCGCCCTCCGCGGGCGCCCAGGGCCACTGCTCCCCGAAGACCAGACGCGGTCGCTCACGACACCGGCAAACGCCCCGGACACCCCCTCCGGGGTCAGGCGCCGAGAACCGCGGGGAGGGGCGGACCCCGATCTGCTCGGGGGCTCGCTGCCTCGTCGGTCCTGGCCAATACTGTGTGTCATCCTATGTCAGTTACCACACACAAAATGAAATGTTTTATAATTTTCCTTACAGCATCATCCAACCCACATTCCCCTGAGGTAAAGAAAACAAAAGATTCAAACTCAAATGGTCAGCAAGGCGTTTCTCTTCTCTGATTTCTAAGTTTCCGCTGGAGCACACCCATAACTTTGATGTGGACTGACCTTAAATGTACTAAAACTGTATGGGAAAGGGGCAGGTGGGGCCTGCTGTGTGTAGACTCGGCAGGGGGTACAGAGGGCTGGCGGGAGGGCAGCGCAGGCAGGTGCAGAGGGGGCAGGCGCCGGCCGTGGAGCAGGTGTGTGGTGCTGCGCCGACGCCGAACGTGCACCCCCTGCTGCCCCCCCAAGCCTCTGAAGGAAGGTAGTAGCGCTGCCAGGGGCAGCCTGGCCAGAGGTCTCGGCCGGGACCAGGACAGTGGGGACGAGACCCCAGCTGGCCAGCCCAGAGCCCAGGCCCATCTTCCCACAGGCGGCCTCCAGCCTCTCCTCTGGCCCCAGGCGGGGAGGAGCGGCCACGGTACCTGCTGGTGGCCCCAGGGAACGCGCCATCGGGAGAGGAAAAGACGTGGCGCAGGTAGTCGTTGAGCAGCTTCTCGTGCACAATGCCTGGGCCACGGGTCAGAAAGGAGAGAAGCGTCACATGGCCAGTGCAGCTTCCAGCCTCTGCTGGCCCCCGAGGCTCCTGGTCCCAGGCCAGCCATAGGGGTCAAAAGAGCAGTCACGCACTGCTGTGTGGCTGCTTGGAGAGAAGAGCTGGTTCCCAGGAACAGGGGCTGCCGCAGGCTGAGGCCTACTGGGCCCAGGGCTGCACCGCCTCATCCCCTCCTCCTCCTTCCCTCAACACAAGCCAGCCCTGCCAGCCCTTACCTGTGACCCCGGATTTCTCAGCATCTGAGGTCAGCCTATAGCTCTTGCGGGAGAAGGACGTGCCGGCCCCTTTGGACGCCATCCTTCATCTCTCATGGGCAGCCGGTGGTCCTGGGGGTGCTGAGCCAGAGGCGAAGCCTGTCTGTTCAAAGCCAGCCTTCTCCCACACTGACCTCCGTCCTGGGGAGGCAGCTAGGCTGGGAGGCCAGATGCATGTGCACACACACAAACCCCGGAGGAAAGCACGGGCCCCCAGCTTCCTACACAGGGAGGGTGAAGGGGTCTGAGCTCGTGTGATGGCCCCACCACGTCCCAGCACTCAGCACAGGGCCTCACAGACAGCAGGTGCAGGGTGCTGAGCCAAACCAAACGCTTCGACCCTGGGAACATCAACCCGAGGTGTCCAAAGGGAGGCGGTCAAGGGTGGGGGCAGAGCTGCCATACCTTTCCGTCATGAGCCACACTGGGTGCAGCCATGTTCGGAGTGAGCCCTACACCACGTACCCCCGAGTGTAGGCCACCATCTAAGAGTTCAGTGCCATCTCCAGCTACCAGTCCTGCTGACCCCTGAAGCCAGGACCACCTTCCCAGCTCCGGGACCCGCCCGCCTGTCGTCCAAAGGCCTGCTGGCTTCCTCCTGCTGCTCACACACAGACTACATCAGAGCACCACCCCTGCCGGGCCCTCATCCCAGACCCCACTGGTCTGCCCACTGCGCCCACCTGTCACACATCACGTTACTGCTGTGGCTGCTTCAAAATCTGTGCTAAGTCGCTAGCGCCTCACTGACCTAGGGCTGTGATGCATCCGGCACAGTTGCCACTTACCACATGTGACTATTTAGATTTGAATTAAGTTTAAGCAATTAAAATTTCAACTTTTCAGTTATATCGGCCACATTTCAATGATTCAGTCGCCACGTGTGGACGGAAAATACCCATTCCCCCCATCACAGAGTCGTACAGAACGGCGCTCTTCCGCCTTGGACAGCACCCTCTTCTCTGCAGCGCTGACTCTTATCTCACCCCAGACAGGCCTCTACCCCCGTCCCGTCCCGCCCCGCCCGCTCACGGCGGCCCACGTGTGTCCCGGGCAGGGTGGCCCTCGCCCTCCGCGGGCGCCCAGGGCCACTGCTCCCCGAAGACCAGACGCGGTCGCTCACGACACCGGCAAACGCCCCGGACACCCCCTCCGGGGTCAGGCGCCGAGAACCGCGGGGAGGGGCGGACCCCGATCTGCTCGGGGGCTCGCTGCCTCGTCGGTCCTGGCCAGCCCGCCGGGGGACGCGGGCTCGGAAGCGACCCCGGCCCAGCCCGCAGCCCAAGGGCGCGGAGGGCGGCGCACGGTCCCTCCGGTCTCCCCGCCCGCCCCACGCTCCGGGGCATCTTCCCGGCAGTCCGGCCCCGAGCCCCTCACCGCGGGCCGCGACCCCGCCCCGGGGGGACGCCCTCGCCCCTGGCCGCCAGGAGCCGGCCCACCGCTCACTCACCCCGGCCTCGGCCGCAGCGCCCGGCTCACAACATCCGCCCAGCCTCAGGGCTACGGCGCCCGCGCGGGGCCAAGCCGCGCCCTCCGCGCACGCGCACCGACCTGTCCCGGCCGCCCGCGCTACGGAGCTCCCGCCTCGCCGGGTGGCGGGGTCCTAACGGCGAGCCCCGGCCGTCCATCTCGACGCCCACCCGCGCTCACAGGCCCGCTACCTCCAGGTCCCTAATGCTGGTCACCCCTACCTCCGTTCAGGCCAGACCGGTGGCCTCCCTTACCTTCCCTGGGATGGCACCTCTGGCGGGACGAGACGCGACAGCTGGGGCCAATCAGTCGGCAAAAGGGGCAGCTGCTTGGGGCCTCGGACAAGGCACGCTTTGGGCTCTGATGGCAGGGGCGGGGCCCTCGCGGGGCACACCCTCCTACATCTGGGGCTGATAAGTAATGCAAAGGGGGCAGCTGCCTTGGGGTTGGGGCAGGGAACGTTCCCCACTTTACAGGGGACAGCTGGGGCCCAAAAGTTTAAGATTACTGCCTAAGCTGGAACCCAGGCCTCTGGCAGCAACCAGGCATACACACTGCCCTCCCTACAGAGCAGCCCAAGCTGAGGTCTGCTCCACTGACACCTTCCTACACCTGCCCACTCCACAGGGAAGCCGCCTAGGGGCTAGCTGCGCCAGAGTGAGTCCTCTGCGTCTCACCAGGGGCCCGCAGTCTGGCCCCACCCCCATTCCTGCCACTGGGTTTCAGGCCGGCCTCAGCAGGCCTGGCGTGGGGGTGTGGAGCCAGAGCCACCCAATCCCCTAGGGACAGGTTTCACAACTTCCTGGCTGGGGCTGTGGTGGGTCACAGTGTGGCCTCCGGCTGGGAGGATGGGTTGGCTGCCTCTCCTGCTGCTTCTGACCCAGTGCTCAGGGGCCCCTGGTGAGTGCCCCTGTGCTGCCCTGACCCCCACCTTCCTTCAGGCACATCCTGCCATTCGTGCCAGGAGCTCACTTTCTTACTGGGCACGGAGCAGCGAGTGACCCTGGCCTCTTACACAGAGCGGGGCGGCTGCAGGAGCACACTGCCTTTCAGGCCTGCGTTAGGGCGCGTCCCATAGCAGTGGGGCAGTGCTGGGACCGCACAGGTGCACGCAGACCTGTGGGCAGGTATCCCCCACGAGCCTGGTCTAGCCCTCTCGCCTCACATGTGCCCTGGTCCTGATCACAGCTCAGACTCGGAGTCCGAATGCCTGGGTTGGGCCTCAGCCTGGATAGTGACAGCTCTGAGCCAAGGCGTTGTCCTCTGAGCACTGAGGGGGGACAAGCTCCCTCAGCCACTGCTCTCAGTAGGATGTATGCCTTAGACCAGAGCCTGGACCTTGACCACTAAACAGGGACACTGCTGTAACTACCACGTTACTATGTTGGGGCCTGCTTCTCCCCCGCTGTACTGGGCTCTGACCCTTGAATGTACCCCAGGGTCCATCCCAGAGGCTTTGTAGCTTTGATGCCCTGAGTGAACAAAGAATGGACCTTCTGATACACATGTGCTGACATGCATGCCCACCCTGCAGGGCAGCGCTCGCCCCTGAATGACTTCCAGGTGCTCCGAGGCACAGAGCTGCAGCCCCTGCTGCACGCGGTAGGGCCTGGGCCATGGCAAGAAGGCGTGGCAGATGCTGAGGAGTGTGCGGGGCACTGCAGGCCCCTACTGGACTGCAGGTGAGGGGCCTCAGGACTTGGTAGGACTGGGGAGGGGGAAGCTGGCCATGGGTGACCCTGCACCACCTCCTCCCAGGGCCTTCCACTACAACATGAGCAGCCGAAGTTGCCAGCTGCTGCCATGGACCCAGCACTCACCCCATACACAGCTGCAGCGTTCCGGGCGCTGTGATCTCTTCCAAAAGAAAGGTGTGCAGCTGTAGAGCAGGGCCATCAAGGATAGGGGTCCTGGGGCTGCTGGCCTTTTTGACGGCGGGTCTCTTGTTCCCAGACTATGTGAGGGCCTGCATTGTGGACAACGGGGTCGGGTACAGGGGCACAGCGGCCATCACGACAGATGGCCTACCCTGCCAGCGCTGGAGCCACAAGTTCCCCAATGACCACAGGTGAGACAGACACCTCTCTTTGTCCGTGCCCAGCCAGCACCTGCCCAGGCACACGCTGCATGCTGCTCTCTGCCCCCAGGTACACCCCCACACTGCAGAACGGCTTGGACCAGAACTTCTGCCGCAACCCCGACCGGGACCCCGGTGGTCCCTGGTGCTACACGACAGATCCTGCCGTGCGCTTCCAGAGCTGCGGCATCAAGTCGTGCCGGGAGGGTAAGAGGCTCCGGGTCGAACCGGGTGGGAGGAGCCTGCCCACGGCTGTCTGCGACCCTGACGACCCTGTGTCTCCAGCCGCTTGCGTTTGGTGCAATGGCGAAGAGTACCGCGGCGCAGTGGACCGTACCGAGTCAGGACGCGAGTGCCAGCGCTGGGACCTGCAGCGCCCGCACGCGCACCCCTTTGAGCCGGGCAAGTACGCGTGGGCGGGCCGGCGGCGCGGGGCGGGCAAAGCCAGGCGTCAGGTGGTACCAGGGGTGGTCGTGCCACACCCGGCCGACCCAGGGTTGTGTTCACGCCCCGCTGCCGCCCAGATTCCTTGACAGAAATCTCGACGACAACTACTGCCGGAATCCAGACGGCTCAGAGCGGCCCTGGTGCTACACCACCGACCCCCACGTAGAGCGCGAGTTCTGCGATCTGCCCCGCTGCGGTAGGCCGGCGTGCGGGGGGCGGGGCCCGGGCCCGGAGGGTGGCTCGGCGGGCTCAGTGCGGGCGGGGGCGGGCGGGGGCGGGGGGGGCGGGAGGGCGCCCGCCCCGCCCCTGGCGCGGACTGCCACTCGCCTCTGTACTTCCAAGGGTCGGAGGCACCGCCGCACCGCGAAGACGCGACGCTCAGCTGCTTCCGCGGGAAGGGCGAGGGCTACCGGGGCACGGCCAACACCACCGCCGCGGGCGTGCCCTGCCAGCGTTGGGATGCGCAGACCCCGCACCGGCATCACTTTGCGCCGGAGAAATACGCGTGCAAGTGAGAATGAGGGCTGCCGCGGCGGGCTTGGGCGGGGACCCCAAGGCTGACGACCCCGGAGCTGAGCGGAGCGCCTGCTCAGGGACCTTCGGGAGAACTTCTGCCGGAACCCCGACGGCTCGGAGGCGCCCTGGTGCTTCACCTCGCGGCCTGGTATGCGCATGGCCTTCTGCTACCAGATCCGGCGCTGCGCGGACGACTTGCGGCCGGAGGGTACGACCCGAGCCGGGGCCAGGGGCGCGGAGTCGGAGGGCTGGGCGGGCCGGGATGACAGCCGCCGCCCGCCGCAGACTGCTACCACGGCGCGGGGCAGCGGTACCGCGGCTCGGTCAGCAAGACCCGCAAGGGCGTCCCGTGCCAGCGCTGGGCCGCCAAGGCGCCGCACAAGCCGCAGTGAGTCCGCGGGCGCCCCCTCCCAGACCCGGGCCTTGGGCGCCCTCTCCCGATGACGCCCGGCGGAGTTGGGCTGGGTGCGGCTGGGCCCACCCTAAGCGGTCTTGCCCCACTGCCGCCAGGTTCACTCCCAGCTCTGCTCCCCATGCGCACCTGGAGGAGAACTTCTGCCGGAACCCCGACGGGGACAGCCACGGGCCCTGGTGCTACACCACCGACCCAGGCACCGCCTTCGACTACTGTGCGCTGCGGCGCTGCGGTGAGCGCCACCCCCTGCCCCGCCCCCCGCCCGGCCACCTGGGGCCGGCTCCCCAACGCCCTGGCCTCGGGTCTTTCAGATGATGACGGACCATCGTCCATCCCAGAGCCCCCAGGTAACGGACTTGGGCCAGGCGTGGGAGGGCGCCCCCTAACCCACCCCTATCCAGTCAGGGTTTCACCCCACCGGCCTCTCACAGAGCAGGTGCTGTTTGAGAAGTGTGGCAAGAGAGTGGCCCGCCTGGACCGGGAGCGCTCTTGGCTGCGGGTGGTGGGCGGCCAACCGGGGAATTCGCCCTGGACGGTCAGCTTGCGCAACCGGTGAGGCGCTACTGCCTGTCTCCCTGGGAGGTGCTGAGGCTTCCTCCTATTTATGCTCGTGGGGGTGTCCCTGCCTCAGAGGGTCTAGCCGAGAGGTGGCAGGTCCAGCCAGCATCCAGGACTCACTGCTGCCTCTAACCCCCACCCCTGCAGGCAGGGCCAGCACTTCTGCGGGGGCTCCCTAGTGAAGGAGCAGTGGGTGCTGACTGCTGAGCAGTGCTTCTCCTCCTGGTGAGCCTCCCTTGAACTTGGGGCCCAGCTCCGTCCCTGCCTGGCCTGCCCCAGACGGGTGACAGGTGAGCCTTGGGGCTGAAGCCCATGGTTCACGACTGATCCAGCAGCGTCTCTCTCCCAGCCATGTGCCTCCCGTGGGCTATGAGGTGTGGCTGGGCACCCTGTTCCAGGACCCACAGCCTGGGGAGCCAGGCCTGCAGCAGGTCCCAGTGGCCAAGATGGTGTGCGGGCCCCCAGGCTCCCAGCTTGTTCTGCTCAAGCTGGAGAGGTGTGTGACACATCAAGAGGGTGTGAGGGCGGCTGGGTTGGTGGCCTCAGGTCCTGAATACCTTCTTCCTGCTAAAGACGTGTGACCCTGAACCTGCGTGTGGCCCTCATCTGCCTGCCCCCTGAGCAGTATGTGGTGCCTCCAGGCACCAAGTGTGAGATCGCAGGCTGGGGGGAGACCAGAGGTAAGGGCGCAGTACAGGGGTCTGCTGTCGGCCAGGGGCCCAGCCTGGGGTCCCATCCCAAGCCCTCTACTTCCCACGCCCTTCACTGTGGGCATAGGGGACAACCCAGTCCTGAAGGTGGCCTCGCTGAGCGTCATCTCCAATCAGGAATGTAACCTCAAGCACCGGGGACGCGTGCGTGCCAGCGAGATGTGCACTGCGGGGCTGCTGGCCCCGGTGGGTGCCTGTGAGGTCAGCAGCAGCCCGGCCAGCTTGGGACTTCCCCTGGGGGCGAGTCTCCATGGCCGCCCGGGGCCCTCACCAGTCCCCCCACCCACCAGGGTGACTACGGGGGACCGCTTGCCTGCTTTACCCATGACTGCTGGGTTCTGGAGGGGATTATAATCCCCAACCGAGTGTGCGCACGGCCCCGCTGGCCAGCTGTCTTCACGCGTGTCTCTGTGTTTACAGACTGGATTCACAAGGTCGTGCAGCTGGGTTAGGCCCAGCCTCAATCCCTGTGCCCTGTGGAGGACGAAGCCTCCTGTCAGACATAAAGCTACCTTTCCTCCTCACACCTGTGCAGGGTGCTTCTTGGTCTCTGCTTCTCAGGAATGAACTGGCAGCTGCTCACCAGGGCCTGGGTGGCTTGAGCCCAGCACACCCTGGACTGGCCAAGTGGTCTGACCCTGGGACCGCCTCAGCCTGTGGGCCCTGTCATCCCCTAGATAAGCTGGGAGGAGCAGGGGAGGGTAGTTTCAAACAGAAAGGGGCTGCAGCAGCAGGGGCTAGCCTGGCGGTACCCCTTGACAGGGAGTGGCTGCCCCTCACGCCCCTCACAGCAGGGAGACCAAGTCTTGATGACTCTGCCCTCAGGGCCCATGGTCTCCGAGTCCCAAGGGTGGGCTGGGGTTGGCAGTGGTTTGGCTACAAAGTACCAGCAACCAGACTGTGTGCGCTCATTTATTACTACATAGCCCACACTCAGCTCGCCCAGCCGTGGAGTCTGGAACCCAAGTCTGTCCCACTCCGTCAGACTCCAGCGCTCTCCCAGAGCAACACGGCCTGTGCCAACTGGCTTGTGCAGAGAGCTTCAGCTGCCCAAGTGCGTGTGTAGCCAGAGCGCTGCGTTCATGAAGCTGTCTGACTCCACACCCACCTCCGACAGCGTGTGGGTGCTCTGGGGGTACAGCAGGAGCCTGCAGGGGCCGCACAGCAACGCTTGAGGCTGGAGGGTCCTCCTCTGCTCCCCTGCCCCCAGCCCCAGGGCCATCCTACTGCACTCACCGGACGGGCACGTTCCGGGCCTTGAGGGCACGGTAGTACTCCAGGCCCTGTTTGAAGGGCACGCGCCTGTCCTCCTGGCCCAGCATCAGCAACAGTGGCGTCTTCACCTGGGGGAGTGGGGTGATGAGCACGGGCTCTGGGCAGCTGGGCGTGCCCGGGGCGGAGGCTGTGTACCTGGGGGGCGTACTTGATGGGCGACTTGTCTAGCATCTCCGCCCACACGCTGAGGTCTGGCAGGCAGTCGCCGCTGTAGGGGAAGCCGGCCTCCACCACACACCTGCGAGAGACTGAGCCAATGCAGCCCCAGCAGCTCGGGCCTGCAGGGACTCCCTGGGTTCGGGGCACCGGGGGCACTACAGGGGGGAGACGGGCGGGGACTGGGGTGCACCCACCAGTCCGGGATGTCAGTGGAGCCCATCATGGAGGCCATGTTGATCACAGGGTTCCGTGCCACGCAGGCGCCGTAGGTTTCTGGGTACTGACCAATCAGGTGGCAGGAGAGGAAGCCACCGTGGGAACCGCCCATAAGGGCCACACGGCCTGCGTCAAAGCGTTCCTCCTGGAGCACCTGCTCCACTGCAAACTATAGGGAGAGGTATGTGGGAAGCCAGCCCCCGCCAGGCTGAATGGAGCCACGTCCCCGCCAGCCTCCCCTCCAGCCCCGCTACCTGGACATCCTTCACATCCTGGTGGCCCACATTGCCGGGAAGAGAGAGGATGCTGTCCTGGCCAAAGCCCGTGGAGCCGCGATAGTTTACTGGAGGCCAGGGGGCACCAGACAGGGCGGTCACGTGACATCCCCAGCCCCATGGCATCCCCTTCACCCGTCTGTGTTGTAGGCCCTGGGGCTGTCAGCACCCAAGATTGCCAGGGGAAAGGGCCAGATCTGTGCTGTGCCCAGTGACCACAATGCCCATCCATAGAGGACCTGTCAGCCTGTTACGGCCACACTATGGCGCCAGAGGCCGGGTTACTAGGTTCTGACTACAGAGGGGCCTGGAGACCAGGGTGGTGTCCAAGGTGCTTCTACAAACCAGGCCCAGCCTGTCCCCCCCGCAGCCCTACCAGGGCCACAGCGCCCTGCCCACTCACCTAGCAGCACTGCAAAGCCCATCTTGCATAGCAAGGCTGGAAACAGCATCCAGGCAGTGACAAAGGATGAGTGGGGGCCCCCTGCACACACGGAGCATGGAGTCAAGAGCTAGGCAGGAGGGTGGTGGCACGGCTCTGAGGCCAGATGCTTACCATGGGGCATGACCACCATGGGCACTTGGGTCTTATCTGGAGGATCGGTGGGCTGCAGAAGGATCGCTTCAAAGTCTAGGCCAGCTGCAGTGAAAGGGCAGCGGTCAGCAGAGCAGCCACCCAGGGCCTTCCCCAGCCAGGGTTCCGCTGTGGCTGCAGCTCTGGGGCAGAGCTCTGGAGCAGACCTGATGGAGGGCGGGCACACCTCGGCACCAGGGCCCTAGGAGGCTCCTAGTCAGGGCACCCACTATGCAGGGGCAGCAGCTCTGGATGAGGTATGCGGAGCCTTCTTGGGCCTTGGAGCCCCCCGAGGGGATCTGGCCTGGTGGGGCTGAGCTCTGACACCTGGAGCAGGCACCCAGATGCCTGGGCACCACTCCCAGTGACCGTCCACAAGAAGCATGGAAAAGCCCTCGCAGGTAGTCCCAAGAAGCACAGTGTGACCGGAGGCGGGAGGGCGACCACGGAGCCGTGCAAGGGGATGTGGACGAGGTACCCTCTGCCCCAGGGCCGGCTCACCGTACTGTGAGTTCTCTTGCTCTGGGGGGGGCTGTAGTACCCGGATGCCCCAGGAGATGTCAGGAATGGGCTCAGCCTCCTCCAGAGACACCCACTGCACTGTCTGCTCCTTCCCCGCAGGAGGCAGGAACCCAACTTTCTGCCAAGGGGAAGAGTGGGGCACAGGTGGTCCGGCGTGGGGCGGAGGCAGTGCTTACTGCTGGGCCTCGACCCCACCTCTAGAGGCAGCCGCATGTGAAGGTACATGTACCCACACCCACACACAGCCCTCCGCCCCCAGCTTCTGGGCTCCGCTGTGCCCCTCTGCCCGGCTGCACTGGGGGTGGGCACTTCCCAGGCACCCTGTTTTGTGCACAGTGGACCTCAGCCCAGCAGGCCCCCCATGGGAGCCAGACCCTCATAGACCATATGCCTGGCTGGGCCCACATCTTGGCCTCCTGTGTGGTGACAATCAGTGACTCTGGGGCCAGTTCTCAGACCTGGGACTGAGAAGAACACCCCCTCCCAGCCTGGGCATGGAACACTCACCAGGCTTGGGGGCAGGCTGGGCGTGGAGAACTGTGCCACCAGAAGGTCCCGGTCGATTGTGAGCAGCTTCCAGCTTCCACAGGACCCCCCTGGAGAAGGCAGATGCCACCACCTGGCCCACCTGCTCCCTGCAGAGCCAGGCCCAGGTGGGAGGCACTATGGCAAGGTGCCCCTCCCACCCTGAGAAGCAAACGGACCGTCACCCACACCCAACACACACAGCCCCGGGGGAGCCCTTGGCTCACTCCGCCGTTCACCCAGCGGATGCTGGCTGTGCCAGGGACCGTCACAGCACCAGCTGACTGCGGTCTGCAGGGTGTTGGCTGGGGCTAAGCAGGGGCTATGCACTGTGACAGTCAAGGAACAACCCCTCAGTAGCTCTGGGCAGGATGGCCAGTCCAGGGGCAGGCTCACCAGGCCCAGGCAGAGGAAAATGGGGGCCTCTCCTGAGCTCTGGGGACAGAGCGGCCTCTGCCTGAGGCACGGGGTGGGAGGTGAGGGGGTGACTCTGGCAGATCTTGGCAAGATAATTTTGTGGGGAGCAGGGGTGAGGGCCATGCTGAGGACAGAGGGCAGAGTGGAGCAGGGGAGGCAGCCTGTTAGCCGGTTAAAGGTCCTGCATGGCCAGGGTCCTCATGGGGCTGTGGGATGGGCCAAGAGTGCCACCCCTGGCCCAAAGGTGCAAGCTGTGCCCTGGCCTGGCTGGCCACTTACCAGCCATCAGGGCTGTCACACTGCCTGTCTGGGTGTCCACAGCAAACAGGTCCTGCAGCAGAGGGGAGGCCTGAGGCACCGAACCCAAGAGCCCTCTGGTTCCCAGTCCCACCTCCTCTCTACCTTGGGGGACCCCAGGCCAGGCCAGGCCGAGAGCTAGGGCAACAGCTACTCAGTGCAAGGGGAGTGGCCTGGGGGCCAGGGGTCCAATCCCAGCCCCATCACAACGTGCTGAGTGACCCTGGGCAAGCCAAGGAATGCCTTTGAGCCCCTCTGAGCATGAGCACAAAATGATACCACAGCCAGAAACGCCGGGCATACTGTGGGTGTTCCCACCCAGTCCCCAGGAGAAGGCCTCTGTCCCATCTCAATCAGCTGCCTGTGTGTAGTGCCACCCCAGTGGCTTCTCCCTTGTACCCCAGTGGAAATGCCTGGGGTGAGGGGTTGTACCTTGGCCTCACCAGAAAAGGCCAAGGGCCTGTTGCCAGGACAAGCAGTCCCCTCAGGAAAAGTGGGTCCAGGACGGGCATGCAGGGCCTGAGGGGCTGGTGAGACCCAGTGGCCAGGCCTTCTACCTGGCAGTGTGCTTATGCTAAGCCCCAGGCCCAGGGCTCCTGGGGACGGGTCTCAGGGGCTGCCTCTCAATAGTCAGGACGCCTCACCTGCCGGCTGCGCTGAGCTGAGTCGAAAACCACTCTTCGGCTGTCAGCTGACCAGCATCCCAGAGGCAGAAGGCTGCAGTAGATCCCAGAGAAGTTCTCTGCAAAGATAGGAGGGCCAGGGCTGCACCCAGGAGCGCAAGTGTGGGTTCAAAAGTATGAGGCCAGGCGGGCCGCAGGAAGCTCACGTGGGGCCTTGCAGCTGTGGCTGACGGGCCGTCCCCCACACAGCAGCCTAGGCCATGAGGAGGCGCCTGAAGAGGGGGCCTGGGGCAGAGGACTCCGAGGGCCCGGGAGGTAGAGCTCGTCTTCCGAGAGAGCCCACGGATGCCCGAGGCAGCGCCCCAGCTTTCCTATGAGCCGCTCTTCCTGAGCCCCTTCGCCAAGACTACCTGTCTGCCCTTACGGCACTTTGCGGGCACAAGGTTGGGGGCTCTGCCGTTTAGCGTCACCGCTCACCTCACCTACAATCCCACAGGAAGGCAGAGACAACCCCCCGTCCCCAGCTGAAGGAATGGGAGCCCAGGGAGGCCAGATCACCGTCCAAGGACACAGGCCCATCAGAAGCAGAGCAGTTTAGGGCAGTCCCCATGGTGTGCATCTGCGACCAGGGAAGGAGGGGG